GGGTCCGGAATACCAGGTCGCATTTGGAGGGTGGTCCGGCTCTCAGAGCGTTCCGGAACGCTCTGGAGCGGCCGCGGCGCCCAATACATCCTCCAAACCCGCCGGTTCTCAGAGATTTCGAGTTATCCCGATCCGATTTTGTCCCGATCTTCGCGTCGTTTTAGGGGGGGTCGATTAATGAGGGATCCGGAGAAGCGGCATCGGTTCCTCTTGGTTTCCCCGTCCACGCCTCGGCTCGACACGCCAGCCACGGCCTGGCCCCCGAGCCTTCCAGGGCGGCCTGACCGACCCCGGAGCCAACCATCCCACTCCGCAGCGCCCCCCTCGCCTCGCCCCAGGGGAGCTCGATAGGCGAGGACGCCGTCACGGGAGGGGATGATTTGCTATGGTAAAACAGGGCTAGGATAGGGATAAATCGCTCCAGAGCGTTCTGGAGCGCTCTCAGAGCGTTCCGGAACGCTCTGGAGCGGCCGCGGCGCCAAATACATCTTCCAAACCCGCCGATTCTCAGAGATTTCGAGTGATCCCGGTCCGATTTTGTCCCGATCTTCGCGTCTTTTTAGGGGGGGTCGATTAATCAGGGATCCGGAGAAGCGGCATCGGTTCCTCTTGGTTTCCCCGTCCACGCCCCGAATTATCAGGGGTAACCCGGGTCAGGGCTAACTCGGGTTCGCTTTTCGGGATTCCGAACCCGAGTTATCCCGGACCCGAGTTACCCCGGATATTTCGGGCGCCCAGAGCCCCGAATCATCAGGGGTAACCCGGGTCAGGGCTAACTCGGGTTCGCTTTTTCGGGATTCCGAACCCAAGTTATCCCGGACCCGAGTTACCCCGGATATTTCGGGCGCCCAGAGCCCTGAATCATCAGGGGTAGCCCGGGTCAGGGCCAACTCGGGTTCCTTTTTCGGGATTCCGAACCCGAGTTACCCCGGGCCCGAGTTACCCCGGATATTTCGGGCGCCCAGAGCCCCGAATCATCAGGGGTAGCCCGGGTCAGGGCCAACTCGGGTTTCTTTTTCGGGATCCCGAACCCGAGTTACCCCGGGCCCGAGTTACCCCGGATATTTCGGGCGCCCAGAGCCCCGAATCATCAGGGGTAACCCGGGTCAGGGCCAACTCGGGTTCCTTTTTCGGGATTCCGAACCCGAGTTACCCCGGGCCCGAGTTACCCCGGATAACTCGGGCGCCGTCTTTCCGGCCGGGCCAGGCTCCCGGAGGGGGTGGGAGGTCGTGTCGTGCAGCCCCGGGGGGGGCGTAAAACGACGCGAAGATCGGGACAAAATCGGACAGGGATAACTCGAAATCTCTGAGAATCGGCGGGTTTGGAGGATGTACTGGGCGCCGCGGCCGCTCCAGAGCGTTCCCGAACGCTCTGAGAGCGCTCCGGAACGCTCTGGAGCGATTTATCCCGATCCTAGCCCTGTTTTTTAGGGGGGTCGGTTCGGCCGCGCCCGAAGCGTCAGCGCCCCGAGCTGCCCCGAGCAGCCCCCCCCGCGGAGCGGAGCGGCACGCCGCCCGCCGGCAAGGCACAGCGCGGCGCCCGGGCCGTCGCCGGCAGATCGCCGTCTTTGCGGCCGGGCCGGGCTCCCAGAGGGGGTGGGAGGTCGTGTCTCCTCCTCCTCCTCCTCCTCGCTCCTCCTCCTCCTCCTCCTCCTCCTCCTCCTCCTCCTCAGCATCAAAGTGCATGCTGTGAAGTCTTTCGATCAGTTTGTTGCTAGCCAGCCGACACTAGTCAAGTTCACATCGTACATCGATGACTCTGGCATTCAGATTTCCTGTGGCCAGAGACAGAGTGCGGTTCAATTAGCTGTCGATGCGGGTCGTGCCCTTTATCACGCAAGCAAGCAGATAAATGCAGCAGTGAATGATAAAGTTGCTGTAGTTGCCAGCGATATTTCACTTGCACGTGACGTTGTGCGTGGCTTAGGGCTTGAGCCCAAAGTTGCGAAGCAATCGGTCACATATCTTGGCGTCGATGACAGTGCTGGTGCCAAGCGTTCTGCTGCTCGTGCGCGTGTCAAACAGCGATCCCGCCTTTGGGGAATGAAGCTGCGAGTAAAAAAGATCGGCAGGTTTAAGTCCCGAGCTCCGAATAAAGAGGCCAAGAAAGGTCTTTCACAGGTCATTCGCACGGGTGTTGCTCCTGCTTCGTCGTACGGTTCTGAGGTTTTGGGTTTCTCTGAAGCTGAGCTTAACACTGTGCGAAGGACCCAGGCTCGTCGGTTACCGCCTTCTCATGGAGGGACCAGTGCCACAGCAAAGCTTGTTTTGTACGGAGAATGGGACACACGAGCTGCAGTCGGACCTGCTCTCCAGTGGTGTCGCATGTTGTGGAATGCCCAGGTCAGTCCTAAGCGATCCCTAATTCCGTTCCAGGAGTTGATCCAACTTTGGGAGCAGGCCAGGGCCAGCGAGGCTAGCGATTGGAAGTCCAGCCGTGGTCCACTTGCGCGTGCCACACTGTCGGCTCGTCGTGCAGGATGGAAAGTAGTATCAGGAACCCAGTGGATCGACCATTGGGGTTGCACAGTAGATGTCAGTAAGACTCCCCCTCGCCTCCTCCTCGATCTCCTCAGAGAAGGATTGCAGCGAGAAGCGGAGCTTCGTTTTGCACGCAGGTTAGGGCACGCGAGCGGCATGCGTACCACTTTCGACCTTGTGCGCAATTGCTTGTGTACGCGTAGTAAGCAGCATACGCGTCAGCAACAGTTCCTTCTCTTGTCGTGCGCCACGGACGCGATTTGGACCGAGGCGCGTGCGTGTGATGCTGGTTACCTCACGGACGGCATGTGTGTTTGCGGCCAACGTGACACGTTGCACCATAGGTTGTACACTTGTGCGCGTCCCGAGGTGGTGGAGGCCCGACAGTCTCTAGGCATTCCGTCTGAAATTTTGAATGAGGGGGCACACAGTGATGATCCCGTGTTTACTCGTGGTTTGTTCACGTTCTCGGACGAAGATGTGCCCCCTCCAGCCACCCATACTTATTGTGACATCCTCGACGGCGCAGGTCAGGATTTGAATATGCAGCCTGAGGAGCTCCCAACGCTTGCAGGAGATGCGTTCGAGCTCGAGATGGCCTCCGATGGCAGCTGCACGAAGCAGGCCCTCCGCTGTCTCCATCGTGCTGGTTGGGCAATCGCCCTCATGCAGCCAGGCAGCGAATCTCTTCTTGCCATCTTGAGGGGTATTGTTCCTGGAGGGCTTCCCCAGACCCCCGCGATGGCTGAGCATGCGGGGGCGGCCCTAGTCGGGCAAGTTTCTGATCGCCCCACGGCGTTGGCCCTCGATTGTAAAGCTGTGATATGTCAAACGCAGAGGCCCCTCTGGAAACAGCTGAGCGGATCCAATAAATTTGCTGGTGTGAGGCGGTTTGCCCATGAGCTAGCAGGTACTGAATTTCTGTCCACCTTCCATGTAAAGGCCCATCGAGAGCTCTCTGCCCTTGAGGACCTGGAAGGTGATGATCGTAGGTTCGGTTTTGCCAATCGCGTTGTGGATGAGCATGCCAAGAAGGCTATTGAGGGCCATCCTCGGCCCCTGCCCACCTTTTTGGACCACGTTGAGTTGTATCAAAATCGAGCCAATGCGTTTATCAAGCTTGCTTCCGAAGTTTTACCCCTCTTTACGAATGCGGTTCGTTGGAAGCGAGCGGCTTACACGACCCAAGGTCGCAGTCGTCAGAGGAAGACCTGGCACCTCTGGAGGAGTACTGATCTGGGCATGCAGTGTCGGTTTTGCTGGATGGTGTGTGATCGACCCGATCGGCCCATGCTTGGGTGCAGGGGACCGCCTCCTGCTCTCCAGAAGCTGCTGCGCGATCCCCTTGGGCACCGTCTCGTCGCCGTGTCGGGCGTGGCTCTTCTTGCTCCTCGGTCGGACCTGGTGCTGGGCCCCTGCCGCGAGCAGCAGATTCTGTGTTTGAAATGTGGGGGTTGGTCCCAGGGCAGAGCCCTAAAGCTCGCTGAGGTCTGTGGTAAGCCGACGCGTAAAGGACTGGACGTCCTGAGCCGTTTTCGTCGCGGGCTTGGCCCTAACATGAAGATAAGGGCCTTGATCGATAAGGCGTTGCCTGTGTCAAGGCTCGATGTTGCGCGTGAGTCGGACGATAAGCCCGAGATGTGTGTTACCTCAGTCCCGCGAGCTTTTGCGGACTCTCCCTCGGCCCCCACTTATGAGCAGCGAATGGCGTCCCTGGTTGCCAGAATTAAAGCTAAAGAGGAGGCAAGAGCCTCCAGGGCGGTTTAACTCGGGTCGATCCCCCTCAAGCTTTTGGTGCTGTCACCTCCCGACCTTTCAAGGCGCTGTCCATCCATCCATCCTCCTCCTCCTCCTCCCCGGGCGGGGGGGTGCGTCCGAGGCGTGTCGCGACACTGCCGCATCGCACATGCGCCGCCGGCCAGGCGCGCACCGGAAGGCCACCCCTAGCTGCCCACGGCCGCTCCCGCGTGCAGCCGCTCCTCCTAGGCCTCCTATAGGTGAGCTCCGAGCAGATGGGGTCAAAGGGTCGCGCCGCACCGGCGATGCATCGGCGATACGGCTCGATGTGGAGCCCGAGTGTCTCCACGCCGGCGTCGCCGATGCATCGCCGATGCATCGCTGATGCATCGGCGATGGATCCTCGATGCATCTGCGATGCGGCACGATTTTGTTGCCCCCCCCTGCTCGGGCCCCATCTGGGAGTCCTCTACCCAGAGATCCGACGTCGTGATTTTTTCAATGCGCGGTCCCCCGAAGTCTGGACCCATTGCCGGTTTTTCATCCTGAACCGTTTTTTGACGGTCCTGGGGCCCAGCGAGGGCCCCCAGAGGCCGAAACTTGCGAGCAACCTCCGTCTTGATTTTTTCAATGCGCTGGACCTCTGGGTATACTCCTGCGGCCAGCCCAGGCTCACGGTGGTGGGGGAGATCGTGTCCTTCAGCCCCGAGGGGCGCCCGCAGCGTGCCGGCGGCAGCGCCGCCGCGCGGCGGCGGGAGCCGGAGCCCCTCGCCGCCAGCGAGGGGCTCGAGCGGGAGGCGCTGCTGCGGAGCAGCCGCGCGGTGCCGCTGTGGTGCGCGCTGTGGCGGCAGCACTACTACGTCGCCTGCGAGGTGGACCCGAGGGGCTCTCGGGTGCTGCTGCTGCGCTTCGGGGGGGCTCCGGGTCCTGGTCCTCCTCGTCCCCCATCGGCCTCGTCCTCCTCGTCCTTTCTGTTCGCCCTCCGCGTCCTCGTGGTCCTCGTCCTCCCCGTCCTCGTCCTTTGCGTCTTCCTCGCCCTCGTCCTGGCCTCCCTCAAAGGTCTACTGCTCTCCACCCCGCTCCCTGCCCCCACCCGCCGCCTCCCCCCTCTCCACCCTCCTCCTCCTCCTCCTCCTCCTCTGCGTCGTTGCACGCCCCTTTCAGCTATCTCGTTCTCGTCCTTGCCCTTTTGCCTTCTTCCGCGTCGTCCCTCACCGCATTATCGTTACCCTTTTTCCCCTCTTCTTGCTCCATTCCGTCATCGTCCTTGTGCTCGTGGTCACTGACCTCGTTTGTTTTCTGCATGTCCTCCTTTCAGTACTCCGACGCAGCCCCATCCGCCGCCTCAGCGGTCCGTGTTGGTCTCTGAAGGTTTTTGACTTCCTTCCACGTTCTCGAAGTGTGTTGGCGTCACTCTGAAGCCCTGAGTTCCTCCAATTCCTCTGCATCTGTTTTACTCGCCAGGTCCGTCTGCGTCCACTGTGTTTGCCCATTGTCCTCCTCGTCTTCCTCTTTGCTCCTCCTGCGCCTCCTCTGATGCTCCTCATCCGCATTATCCTGCTGCTCCTCTTTCTCCTCCTCCTCCTGCTCGTCCTCCCACCTCCCTCATCCAACTCCTTCCCATCCCCCGCATACACTCCTCCTCCTCCGCCTGTTCCTCCATCCCTCTTATCCTGCTCACTCCACTCCTCTCCCTCCTCCTTCCTCCTCTCCTTGACAGGGTTCGCGAGCCACTCTCTGTTCCCAGGGCAGCCATGAAGCAGGCCGTGTCGCGACGGGCGCTGCGGCCGAGGGTCCGCGGCCCTCTCGTGGCAAGCTCGCCAGGCTTGCAGAGGGCCCAGGCGCCCAGAGGGGTGTTCACCACCCACCAAACCACCCCAACCCAACCCGAAGGCCCAAATTTATCCTCGATTTCCAGTGGGGGGGGGGTCGGGGAACATTGAAACAACACATGGAACCCGTGCCCCCCCCCAACCCGAAATTCGGGTCGAATTCGGGTCTTCGGGTTGGGTTGGGGTGGTCTGGTCGGTAGTCAGGTGTCTCCTTGGTGCGTCCTCGGTAGCGGACGAGTACATGCGTCCCCGCCAGTACACATCGTCGCGCCCCCTTCGGGGCCAAGGCGATCAGCCGCGGAGCACTCTTATTCAAACACTCCGCCACCCTCCCCGACGAAGGGAGGCCAGGCCCTGAGAACACAGGCAGCCCAACGCAGCAAAACCAGAGGAAGGCGGGACGCGCGTAAGCGCAGGTGCGTCCTCGGCCTCCTTCCGCTCTGGCTCGCTGCCCGTGGCCAACAACGGCACTGGCCGGAGCGAGCCTTCAGTCGGGCCTGTCCCTCTGCAGGGGGGCATGTTCTGAAGTATAGTCAGCACATAGCCTGCGGACGGTTTTTTTTTGAACCTGTTTTGAACAGTATGGGGACGTGTTTTTGTAGTTTTGATGATTTTCTGAGCATGTTTTGACTGCTTGCAATGTTTCGTCCAAAATTCGCATGTCGGGGGACATGCCCGACCTAAAGCAAGCCCCCCGACGTCATCGACGCCTTCTGCTGTGGCCTTGTGGCCTTGGCCAACCACGCCATGGGGCTGGAGCGGGGCCCTCCCCACGCGTACACCTCCACAGTTGCGCGGTCATGGCTGCATGGGTGAAAGACGTGTGCGGGCTCTGGCGCTACCGCCAGCTCCTTTTCGGGTGTTGCTAGAGGTGTCCCTATCCTCCTCCTCCTCCTCCTCCTCCTCCTCCTCCTCCTCCTCCTCCACCTCCACCTCCTCCTCCTCCTCCTCCGCCTCCTTCTTCTCCTTCTCCTCCTCCTCCTGCTCCTCCCCCTCCTCCTCGCTCCTCCTCCTCCTCCTCTCCTCCTTCTCCTCCTCCTCCTCCTCCTCCTCCTCCTCCTCCTCCCCTCCTCCTCCTCCTCCTCCTCCTCCTCCTCCTCCTCCTCCTCCTCCCCTCCCCCTCCTCCTCCCCTCCTCCCCCTCCCCCTCCTCCAAGGCTCCACCAAGATTGCCGAGGAGGCCCCGTCGGCCTCCAGAGCGCCCCTCGCGAGGCCCAGAGGGCCCCAGGGAGGCTCCCAAATGGAGCGACAAGCTGGGGGCACGTTGGGCCAGGTCAGGTCAGTCCGGTGGATGCTACTACAAAAAATCAATCAGGCGGGATTCTTTTTGCAATTTTGGGGTCTCTTCATGGTTTTTGGGAGATAGCTCGAGCTACAGGCCACTCTCAGATGCGAAATGCACTCCATTCGACAGGAAATCATGACAAGCTCCCTTTCGCACCCCCCGACTTCCGCAAGTCCGAAATCCCGCGCGCCTCTGCGGCGGGCAAGCCGGGCGGGAGAATTCGTGCCGCAGAAGCGTGGCCGACGTTCTTGAACAGGGAGCGTCGCCGAAACGTCTGGCCCAGCTCCGGCAGGAGGGCCAGCATCGGCAGGTTTTTTGTCGCCACGATTGGGACAAGTTGGCCGGTCGGTAGTTTTGCGCCATCTGTAGGGTGAGAGCCCCCGCTGAAACCACCAGGGTCAGAATGATCAGAAAGAGTGTCGCAATCGCTTCCGAAGCTGCTACGCTGGCATGTTTGGTCAGCGCCACGGTCACTTGGCCATCGGCTGCTATTCCTGTGATAGTTACGCCGTTGTTTTGTGGCATTGCCGGGTACACAGCGAGATTATTGCCACCAGCGGCGTTCATAATGCATGTCGTGGCCCTGCGAACATCAAGACCACAGTTCATTCGACTCCTCTTCCTCCTCGCCATCATCCGCCTCGCCCTCGCCTTCTTTCCGCTCCCACCGCGAAGTTAGGCGATCCAGGATGCGTCCGTTGTCCGCGTCCGCTCACATGTTGTTTCTCTTCATGGGTGTATATGTGTGTGTGTGCGTGTGTTTGTGTTTGTGTTTGTGTGTGTGTTTGTGTGTGTGTTTGTGTGTGTGTGTTTGTGTGTGTGTGGTTGTGTGTTTGTGTGTGTGTGTTTGTGTTTGTGTTTGTGTGTGTTTCTTTGTGTGTTTGTTTGTGTGCTTTTTTTTGTGTGTGCGTGTGTTTGTGTGCGCTTGTGTGTGTTTGTGTCGTTGTGTGTGTTTCTGTCTGTTTTTGTGTTTCTGTGTCTTTGTGTGTATGTGTGTGTGTGTGTGTGTGTTTGCGGGTTTGTGTGTGGTTGTGTGTGTTTGTGTGTGTGTGTGTTAATGTGGCTCTGTGTGTGTTTGTGTGTGCGTGTGTGTGTGTTTGTGTGTGTTTGTGTGTGTGTGTTCGTGTGTGTGTGTGTGTTTGTGTGTTTCTGTGTGTATTTCTGTGTGTGTGTGTGTGTTTGTGCGTCTGGTTGCTGGTTGTTGTGTGGTTGTGTGTGTGTGTGTTTGTGTGTGTGTTGTGTGTGTGTTAGTGTGTGTTTGTGTGTGGTTGTGTGTGTTGTGTGCGCATGTGTATGTGCGTGTTTGTGCGTGTGTGTTTGTGTGTTTGTGTGTGTGTTTGTGTGTGTGGTTGTGTGTGTTTGTCTGTGTGTTTGCGGGTGTTTGTGTGTGTTTGTGTGCGTTGTTTGTGTGTGCTTGTGTGCTTGTGTGTGTTTGTGTGTGGTTGTTGTGTTGTCTTTGTCAGTGTTGATGTGCGTTTGCTTGTTTGTGTGTGTTAGTGTGTGTTTGAGTGTGTGTGGTTGTGTGTGTTTGTGTGGTTGTTTGTGTTGTGTGTGTGTGTGTTTGTGGGTTTGTGTGTGTGTTTGTGTGTGTGGTTGTGTGTTTGTGTGTGTGTTTGCGTGTGTTTCTGGGTGTTTGCGTGTGTGTGTGTGTTCGTGTATGTGTTTGTGTGTGTTTATGTGTTTGTGTGGTTGTGTGTGTTTGTGTGTGTGATTGAGTGTGTTAATGTGGCTGTGTGTGTGTGTGCGTGTGTTTGTGTGTGTGTTTGTGTGTTTGCGTGTGTTTGCGTGTGTTTGTGTGTGTGTGCGGCTGTGTGTGTGTTGTTGTGTGAGTTTGTGTTTGTGTGTGTGTGTGTTTGTGTGTTTGTGTTTGTGTGTGTGTGTGTTTGTGTGTGTTTGTGCGTTGTTGTATGTTTGTGTTGTTTTATGTGTTTGTGTGTGTGTGTTTGTGTGTATCGGTGTGTTTGTGTGTTTGTTTCTGTGTGTTTGTGTGTCTTAGGATGTTTGTGTGTTTGTGTGTTTGCGTGTGCTTGTTTGTGATTGTGTTTGTGTGTTTGTGTGTGTGATTGTGTGTGTTTGTGTGTGTGGTTGTGTGTGTGCGTTTGCGTGTGCGTGTGTGCGCTGTGTGTGTGTGTTTGTTTTTTGTGTGTGTATGTGTTTGTGTGTGTGTGTGTGTGTTTGTTTGTGTGTGTGTTTGTGTGTTTGTGTGTTTGTTTGTGTGTTTGTTTGTGTGTGTGTGTGTTTGTGTGTGTTGGTGTGTTTGCGTGTGTGTGTGTGTGGTTGTGTGTGTGTGTTGCGTGTGTGTTTGTGTGTTGTGTGTGTTGTGTGTGTGTGTGTTTGTGTGTGTGTGTGTGTGTGTGTGTGTGTTTGTGTGTGTGCTTTTGTGTGTTTGTGTGTGTGTGTTTGTGTGTGTTTGTGTGTTTGTGTGTGTGGTTGTTTGTGTGTGTGTTTGTGTGTGTGTCTCTGTGTGCTTCCTGTCCCGCCCTTGCCGCCGCCCTCATCACCCACACGGCCCCTCGCCGAGCCACGGGGCCGTGTGCCGGCCGACGAAGCGACCGCGCCCGCGGACGAGCTTCTGGAGCGGGAGGGGCCCGGGAGGCGCTGGCCGTCGCCTTCCCCGGCCGGCCTCCTCCTCCCCCTCCTCATCCTCCTCCTTCTCCTTCTTCTCCTCCCCCCTCCTCTTCCTCCTCCTCCTCCTCCTCCTCACCCTCCTCCTCCCCCTCCTCCTCCTCCTCCTCCTCCTCCTCCTCCTCCTCCTCCTCCTCCTCCCCCTCCTCCTCCTCCTCCTCCTCCTCCTCGCCTTTACAGGAGGGATATCCCAAAGTAGTCAAGCAAAAGTCTGGGGACGTTTTTGTTCTCGAACATGTCTGCCCATGTTGACATGTTGCTCCACTGCCTCTCATTCTCCGTTCAAGATCCGCCTGTAGGGGGACACGCCCGACCGAACTCTAGGCCTCCTAGATGGGGTCGGTGTAGATGGGGACGGAAGATCGCGCGCATCGCCGCCGATGCATCGCCGATGCGCCTCGACGTGGGGCCCGATTTGCTTCACCTCGGCGTCGCCGATGAAATGCCGAAGTCGACGATGCATCGCCGATACATCGCCGATGCATCGTCCATGTATCGGCGATGCGGCGCGATCCTCCGACCCCATCTACTCCGACCCCATCTAGGAGGCCTCGAACCGCCCGTAGCCATCGAGGCCCAGGCTCAGCACGGGGCCCATCGGCGTCATCGCTGCAGCACCCGTAGAACACGTCGGGAGTCGCTGCGACCAAATGGGGGGAGCGAAAGAAGGCATCTCCACCGCGTTCGAGGAGCAGGCAGGCGAGAAGTGCATAGAAGTCAGGAAGGGCAACAAAACACACAGACACGCTGAATCGTCGATTCCCCAGAAAAAGTGTGGAAACATGGGAAGTGGGGGGGGAAGCCCCAAACCCAGAAAACATTTGAAAATATGGAAATCATGCTACTTGTGTCTATTTGTTTATGTGTCCTAGGGCCCCTTCAAGAAGGGCATGCCCACATCGAGCCCCCCTGCGGGTTCACGCTCGCAGTTGTTTGTGTGTGTTGGTTGGACACACCGCTCCATCCTCCCACACCCCACGAGAAGACCCGGCAGAGGAGTGTTGCCCCCCCCTGCCTCGAGCGGATAGCGGCTGCGCGAGTTCGAGCCACATGCAAACGACCGCGCGGGCTGTTCTGTCGGGGTGCGGTCGCGGCTCGGTATGTGGCGGCGCGACGCGCAATGTCAAGTTCGGTTGCCTGGTTCAGGCCGTCTGGCTGAAGTGCTGTCTTGTTTTTTTTTGTTCCGACGGCGCGCCAGAAGCACGGAGAGGAATCATACCAGCATCAGCTTGCGTGTCCTGCTCACGGCCCTCATCGTATGCCTCCCCATCTTGATCATCCCGTGACGTCTTCTGTTCCCTCTTGTTTTGTATGATCGTCTCGTGTCCATGGCGCCTCCCATCCCTCCGGACTGTCCGTCTCTTCGCCCACATCCTCCACCTCCACCTCCGTTGTTCCCCCTTCTCTCTTTATTTCCCGTGTCCCTCTGCTGATGTTGCTTCTCCTCTTGCTCTTGCTCGTAGCACTGTCTCTTCTGGTTATTCTTCTTCCAGTCGTAGAAGTTATCGTCCCGCTAAGTCCCATGCGCATCCGCCTCCGTCGATTTTGTGTATTACTCTCTTCCCATTCCTCTTGGCTCGCTTCCCCCTCCGCCCTCGAATCGTATCCCTTCATCAGCATTCCTTCCTCCACCACCTTCCCTCCCTCCCTGACCCCTCCGTTCCTCTAGCGCTCCTCGTTCCTCCCTCCTCCCCCCCTCCTCCTCCTTCCTCTGTGCCACCTCCTCCTCCTTCTCCTTCCTCCTCCTCCTCCTTCTCCTTCCTCCTCCTCCTCCTCCTCGTCCTTCCTCTGTGCCTCCTTCTCCTTCTCCTTCCTGCCTCGCGGCCTTCCTCCCTCCCTCATCCCCTTCCTAGCCGCTCACTCTCCCCCCCCCTCCTCCTGCCCCCCACTCCTCCCCTTCTCCCCTCCTCCCCTTCTCCTCCTCCCCCCCCCTGGCGCTGCTCTCTGGGCCCCTCGCCGCCGCCTCGCGCCCAGCGCGCCGCCCGGCCGCGCGCCCCGCCCCTCCCGACCGAACGCGGCGCCCGCGCCGCCCACGGAGTGGCCGCCCCGCGGCCGCGCGCGCGCGCCGTCGCGCCGCACTCGGGCCGGGCGAAAGGGGCCCTGATGGTCCGCTACCGAAAATTTCCGGTAGCGTTCCGCAGAGATCGGTCGCTACCGAAATACCGAAACGTAGCGCCCAATACCGGTATCAGAGCGTTCTGAAATCCGCTATTTCAACGCCCTCAAACGAAGATCCGGTCGCTACCGAAATTCGGGGTGCGTCGAAATCGCTACCGAAAATTTCCGGTTCCAGACCATCTGGGGGGGGATTGGGAAAGAGGGGGTTACGAAATTTGCTGCATGCAGCTGGTTTCGGCCCCACCGAGGGGCCCATTCCTCGATGCATAGCCGTCTCCGGCGCCGGGAGGCGCCGGGAAAATCAGCTATAGGCGAGCTGATTGTCAAACCCCCCCTTTGTTATCCCCCCCTTTCGCCCGGCCCGACGCACGCGCCGCGCATGGACCTGCAGCGCGCCCTCGACCAGTGGCCTGGCATCGCTCGGACGTGTGTGTTTTTTACCTAACAGCGAAGACTGATAGGTTTCTGGTAGGGTCAAAAGATAGCATCTTGACGCCCCAGGGGGGTCTGGGCGCGATCCGGGGGAGGATGCCGGGGACTTTTTTTTTAGCCAACAGTAACGCATTTCGTGGCCTTCGAGGTCCCAGAATTCAATTCTTGGGCATGATTTTGAATGCCCAGATATGCTCTGACATATCGCTGTTAGGTTGCTTTGACGGGATAATTGCCTAACAGCGAAGACTAATAGGTTTCTAGTGGGGTCAAAAGAGAGCATCATGACTCCTCAGGGGGGTCGGGGCGGGACCCGGGGCGGGACCCGGCGCGGCTGCCGTCGAGGCCCAAATCGCTTCGGACATCCTCGCAAAATGGTTCTTGGCGCTGCTAGAACTCCATTCCCGGCGTACATGCTGGATGCCCGGAACCAACTGTAGGCCACTTCGTGCTCTTCGACTTCCCAGAACTCCACTCCCGGCGTACATTTTGGGTGCACGGAGCCAACTGTAGGCCACTTCGTGGTCTTCGAGTTCCCAGAACTCCATTCCCGGCGTACATTTCGGATGCCCGGAGCCAACTGTAGGCCACTTCGTGGTCTTCGAGTTTCCAGAACTCCATTCCCGGGCCGCATTTTGGGTGCCCGGAGCCAACTGTAGGCCACTTCGTGGTCTTCGAGTTCCCAGAACTCCACTCCCGGGCCACATTTTGGATGTCCGGAGCCAACTGTAGGCCGTTTCGTTTTCTTCGAGCTCCCAGAACTTCATTCTTGGGCATGATTTTGAATACCCGGAGCCAACTGTAGGCCACTTCGTGTTCTTCGAGTTCCCAGAACTCCATTCCCGGGCCACATTTTGAATGCTGAGGCAGGCTGATGCTGAGGCTGAGGCAGGCTGAGGATGAGGCAGGCTGAGGCTGAGGCCGAGGCTGAAGGCAGACTGAGGCTGAGGCTGAAGCAGGCTGAGGCTGAGGCTGAGGCAGGCTGAGCTGAGGCTGAGGCAGGCTGATGCTGAGGCAGGCTGAGGCTGAGGAGGCTGATGCAGGCTGAGGCTGAGGCAGGCTGAGGCTGAGGCCGAGGCTGAAGGCAGACTGAGGCTGAGGCTGAAGCAGGCTGAGGCTGAGGCTGAGGCAGGCTGAGGCTGAGGCTGAGGCTGAGGCTGTGACTGCCGTTGCCACTGCGACTGTCATCGCGAATGCGACTACGACTGCGAGAACAGCAGAATTCTACAACTGGATTCTCATCTGAATCGTAAGGGGAATGCTTCCAGATATGCTCTTACACATCGCTGTCAGGTTGCTTTGTCGGGATATTTTTTCTCGGCGAGAATCATCGAGGACCATCCTGGACCGTCGAGCAAAACACAACTTGTTTGGTCTGCGGGTCGAGAGCGGGCCTCTTCCGGTTAAGAGCCAGGCGGGGCGCGCAAAGAACTCATTGGGGAGACAGGGCGCGGGCGGGCGGGGCCCCATGAGCAAAAAAACAGGGCAACAAAAAAAACACGCACGAAACCGACAAATGCACGGGAAATGGACGTCCGAGCAACGGCGAGAGGAGGAGGAGGAGGAGGAGGAGGCGGAGGAGGAGGAGGAGGAGGAGGAGGAGGAGGAGGAGGCGGAGGAGGAGGCCGAGGAGGAGGCGGAGGGGGAGGCGGAGGGAGGAGGGAGGAGGAGGAGGGAGGAGGGAGGAGGAGGGGGAGGAGGAGAGGAGGAGGAGGAGGCGGAGGAGGAGGGAGGAGGAGGAGGATGGAGGGAGCGATGGCGAGGTGGGTCCCGGCGCCCGGCGCCCCGGCGGCGCCCCCCGCGGCGGGCCCCGCGGCGGGCGCCGCGGCGCCCCCTGGGAGAGACGCGCTGAGCGGCCGCGGCGGCCGCGCGCGGGAGGCCCCGGCTCCGCCCGCGGACCGGGCCCTGGCCGTCGCCGAGGCTCTCAGGCCCGAGGCGGGGCTGGAGGGTTTCTCCGAAGGGCTTAGGCGACCCGTCCCTCCTCCTCCTCCTCCTCCTCCTCCTCCTCCTTCGCTCCTCCTCCTCCTCCTCCTTCCTCCTCCTCCCCCTCCCCCTCCTCTCCTCCTTCTCCTCCTCCTCCTCCCCTCCTCCTCCTCCCTCCTCCTCCTCCTCCTCCTCCATCTACAATTACTCAATATGAATACTACTCTCCCTCTTCCCCCGATGGCGGCCTGAAAGTATTAGACCCCCCCCGCGTACTGTTTTTTTACACAGGATTCCCGGGAGTTGGGTTTTCGCTGCGTTTTTTTCAAAATGCTGCTCTCGCTGAGGCGCCGGCCTTCCAAAATGCTTCCCGTTTTCGCTTGCGTGCTGCTCTCGCTGAATCGCCGGCTTCATTTCTGCTCCCGAATCGTTCCGAATCGTGCTCCCGCTGCAGCGTGGGCCTCATTTTCGGATCGGTGTTTGGCCTCCGTCGTTCAGGATGGCGTTCTCGCCCCAGCGCGGGCCTCTTTCTCGCGTGCCCATCCTCCCGCCACCACCGCGCCGCACCACTACCACCACCACCACCACCACCACCACCACCACCACCAGCACCACCACCACCACCACACACCACCACCACCACCACCACCACCACCACCACAACCACGCACACACGCACGCACGCACGCACGCGCACCACCACCCACTACGCACGCGCGCGCGGAGCCACAGGTCCGCTACGACACGCGTCCGCGGATAGAGAAAATCAGCGCCATGGTAAGGGATGGGAGGGAGGGGTAGGACGTCAGACATGACGCGAGCGCACCTAGCTTGCCTCCTCCCCCTCCCCCTCCCCCTCCCCCCTCCACCTCCTCCTCGGTTCGCCTACGGCCCCGGGGGAAACCGTGCAGGCGGGGCTCGATGCCTGTGCTTCAGTCGGGCGTGTCCCCCTACAGGGGGATTTTCGACGAGGAATAAGAAATATGCAAACTTCTCATACGCACCTCTCCGAGGGAGTAGAGCTCAGAGCCGATGAATTAAAGGGGGCGTTCGCGAATTTTCTGGCCGTTTCGCTAGGGACATCTGCGAAATTCTGAAAATCGGTGGCGCCCCTCACACAGATCGTGACGTCAGGGTCCAAAAACACATTGGAATTTCAGCATTCTAACATAAAACCTTCAAAAACACATAGTAAATTCAAAGATTCTGACCCCGATTCTCAGAGAATGGCGGTTTCGCCTGAGACATCCTCCCAAAATCGAGCCCCGACGTACCTTCAGGTACCCCAGACCCCGCCTCGGAGCCTCCTGGGGGCCTCCTGGAACCTCTTGGGACTTCATGGGGCCTCCTGCGGCCTCCTGGAACTTCTTAGAGCCTCCTGGAGCCTCCTGGGGCCTCCTGGAGCCTCCTGGGGTCTCCTGGGGCCTCCTGGGGCCCCAGGCTTCCTGGCGGCCCCTGGTACACACATCGCAAGGTGTGGCAAACCCTAAGATGCCCTCGCAACTCTGACCTCGGGGGTGCCCTGCCCCATGAGGGTCCTGCCACCTTCGTGTGACACATCCTCGCAACTCTGGGCTCCGAGATGCCCTGGAGTAAGGAGGTCCAGCCACTTCCGCCTGAGACATCCTCGCAATTCTGGATTCCGAGATGCCCTGCCCCATGGTGGCCTGGCCACTTTCGCCTGCTCCAAATGCCCTTTCAGCTTTCTTGCATGGGCCTGGGCACACGTGCCATTTGTGTGTATATATATATATATCAAAATGGTCCAACAATATTCCAAAAATAGTCCCCAGACTATTGTTTGAACTATTTTTGAATATTCCTCCTGAAGAAGGACGGGCCCGACTTAAGCCTATGCCCACCACCCGGGGGAGCGTGCCCCAAGTGAAGGTCGGGGGCGGCAAAGAGGGGGGTGATGACTGGGGGGGATATCATGGCGTGGGCCATGATATTTCGTGGCGCCTCTGCTTGTTTCATTGCGTCCCTGGCCCCTCTTGGGCCGCAGGTCATGATTTGCACCCCCCCCGCTTGGAGGCCCGCCTCTTGGCCGCCCCCGAGAAGGCGGAGGATGTGGATACACACCCAGAGGTCCAACGCAGTGGAAAAATTCAAGACGGAGGTGTGTCGCAACTTTCGGCCTCTAGGGGCCCCCGGACCGTCAAAAAACGGTTCAGGATGAAGAACCGGTCCTGGGGAAGGGGTCGAGGCTTTTGGGGACTGCGTGTTGACCAAATCACGACATCGGATCTTTGGGCCCCAAGCGAAGGCTCAAGCAGTCAGTGGCGAAGCGCCCTAGCCCGCCTACAGGCCGACCAAAGAAGGTTCTAAGAAACTGTTGTTGTTTGCACGAAGTGTTCTCAGAAGGCTTCTGGATGATAATGTCGTGGTTAACACATAGGATGAGGGTTGATGTTCTAAGAACATTGCTTTGGTAGTATAAGTTTTTTTTCTGTTTTGAGAGCATGTCGTGGTGGGCCTACAGGAACGCCGGGACGGTCGGCCCCTGCAGCTCAAGAGGCGGGGGATGTGGATACACAGTCAGAGCGCACAGCAGAAGGAAGCACTAACACGGGATGTCCTGAGGGTGCCCTCGCGTCCCTGCCTCTGCGGCCAGCGGCCTCGCGGGCCAAGCCCTGGCCGTCGCCGAGGCCCTCGGGCCCGAGGCGGACCTCGATGCCTATGCCCACCGCCCGGGGGAGCGTGCCCCAAGCGAAGGCTCAAGCAGTGGCGAAGCGTCCTAGCTTTCCTATCGGCCTGACAAAGAATGTTCTCAGAACCGATTGTGGTTTCCACGAAGTGATCTCAGAAGACTTCTGGCTGATACTGTCGTGTTTAACACATAGCATGGATCTTCTAAGAACATTGCTTTTGGTATTATAACCTTTTCGTGTTTTAAGAACATGTCGTGGTAGGCCTATAGGAATGCCGGGACGGTCGGTCCCTGCTCCAGAGGCGGGGGATTTTGATACACAGACAGAGCGCATAGCAGAAGGACACACGGGATGCTCTGAGGGTGGCCTCGCGTCCCTGCCTCTGCGGCCAGCGGCCTCGCGGGCCCGGCCCTGACCGTCGCCGAGGCCCTCAGGCCCGAGGCGGCTCGAAGCGTGCCCAGCGCCCAGGGCATAGTGCCCCAATCCAAGTGGAACAAAAAACGCACCAGAAACATACGTAAGCTTTTGGCGCTCCGCGCGGATCTCCTGGATCCGCGCTGGGCCCCCTGGCGGCGCCTCCGGCGCCGCCGGGGAGGTGTGCCCGTCCAGCGCAGATCCAAGAAGTCCGCGCGGAGCGCGACAAGTTTATGCTTATGGCGTGTGTTTGTTTCCTTCTAGTCGAAGACCTAGGCAGGCGGTTCATGTGGATACACAGTCAGAACTCACCGTGAGGACGCACGGACGTTCTCAGGGTGCCCTCGCGTCCCTGCCTCTGCGGCCCGTCCTTCGCGGCGTTCACTGGCCAGCCCGCCGCCCCCCCAAAAGTTCGAACTTCGGCGTCCAAGGCCCTCGCGTCCTTTTGCGCCCGTCCTTACTATAGATGTCGATCGTCTTTCTCTTTTTTGTTTCTCTCTCTCTCTGTCTCTCTCTCTCTCTCTCTCTCTATGTATATATATGTGTGGATATCAGGCTCTCTCTCTCTATCTTTATTTATATATATATATATATATAGAGAGAGAGAGAGAGAGAGAGAGAGAGAGATCGGGCATGCACACGTACATCCCTCTATGTAGATATACACGAATGTTATTTGGGCCCCCTGGAGCCAAAGTACATCCGCACATGCACCGCCCCACGGGGTGCCATGACATCGCTTCCCCTCGTGGTGGACGTGGATACATCCCCGCCTCGCCCCAGGGAGGCCGAGGCTGCCGAGGCCGGCCTGTGCCAGCAGGCCACCGCGCTGGTGCAGGGCGTGGCTCCGGGCTGCGAAGTGACGGTGGCCAGAAGCGTCGCCGGGCGCATGGTGTTCGCCGTGGACGGCGCGGTGGACCAGGTCGAGCTTGAGCGCGCGCACCGCGTGGTCAGTACCTCCTCCTACCGCCGTGCCGGCTTCGCGAGGCCAGACACCCAGGACGTCAAGCACTCGATCTCGAACTACCCCCCGCGGGAGTTCGCCGGCACGCCGCTGTGCGGCCTGGTCAAAGCACTGCTTGCCGCGCTGTTCCCGGGGCGGCCGCGCCTGGTGCTCTCCAGGGCCTACTGCAACGCCAAGCTGTTCGGGGACGTCGGCCTGATACACCGGGACACGGACAGCGATGGCCAGCTCACCGCGGTGCTGTACGCGAACCTCGAGTGGGGCCCAGAGCTGTGCGGAGAGACGATGTTCTACACGCCGGACAGTATGCCTGCGCTGGCGGTGGCGCCCATACCTGGGCGTCTGTGCCTGTTCGACGGTCTGGTGCTGCACGCCGGCGTCGCGCCTTCGCGGCTCATGTTCGGCTATCGCTTCACGCTGGCACTGAAGTTCCGGCCAGCCAGGACCGCGAGCGAGGGCGACTTCTCCGACAGCGAGGGAGATGCCAGCGAGGAAGAGGACGGCCGAGCAGGCACGGCTAGCATGAACAGGCCGAAGATGCATTGAACTCATTCGGACCGCGTGAATGGATTCAGACGAGCCTATTCTCTCGCCCACTCGGATAATCATCGTCCTCATCGGCCCGCTCCCCGATTCCGCGTCCTCATTTCCCTTGTCCGCCTAGTCATGATTCTCTTCCTCATCGTCCTCCGCCTTCTCCTCTCCTCCCTCGTCATACAATTTCACCTTTGTGTTGTCCTGCTCCTGCTACTCCCTGGCCCATTTCCCTCGTCGTCCCCATCCTTCGACCATGCTCGCTTCTGGACGCTACATCGCCTTGCCCCTCGAGTCGCATCCAGCAGCTGTGAGTGCAAGGCCCAGCCCCCCTTAATGCCCCTCTGTCTGGGCAACCGGGGGACCGCAGGCGCGCTTCCATCGAATGGGAAAAAACGTCATACACGTAAATGTTCGGCGCTCTGCGCGGACCGTGTTTATGCAGGTGTCTCTTCTTCTGTTCCAGCCTGCTGAGAAGCATAAGCCTGCAGCCGACCCCACCGCCATGGTCGAGGGGGGGGGAGATGGCTGCACCCGATCTGGGGGACGACGGCTTTCCACATGGCAGCCCCCCACTGGATTCGACCGCACGTAAGACGCCCGGTGGGGGCGTTGGTTCAGGAATGTGCCCAGGAGACTGCAGACCCTGTGGGACTCCTTATCTGATGAGGGCGGAGGTGATATCCGTGGCCGAGCGTCGATCGGAGTTCAACCGGTCTCCAGACCCTGGATTCCTTATCTAAGGTGAAGTCGGGCCTCTCCCTCTCCAGGAGGAGTATTCAAAAATAGTTATAAAAAGCATAGTCTGGGGACGGTATTTCTAATCTACACCTATATACAATTATGTATATGTGTGTTGGAGCATGTTTGGAATATGGTTTGGGTATGTTCCATTTTTCGTCCTGAATCTGCCTGTAGTGGGACATGGCCGACCGACATCTAAGGGCTTCTTATCCAATTGCCCCCACCGTAAGAGTGGCCCCTCGCTGCGGGGCCCCTCGTGCGCGGGGCCCTATCGGGGGCCCCCCCCCCGATCGCGAGAGGAGCGGTGCGCCGGCAGGGGTTCTCTCGCTCGGCGCGCCGCGCCGGGGCCCACGCCAGGCGCCAGACTGCAAGCAGCGGCGAGGCGTCCCGGCTCGCCTATAGGCCCACAAAAGACTGTTCTCGCCAATAGTCGGCGGCGGAAAACAGGGGGGTGATGACTAGGGGGGGGTGGATATCATGGCGGGGGCCATGATATTTTCCCAGATCTCATGGCGCCCCTCCTTGTTTCATTACGTCCCTGGCCCCCCCGCTGGGCCGCGCACATGCCGCCGGTCATGATTTGCACCCCCCCCTCTTGGACACCCCCCTCTTGGCCGCTCCCGAAATAGGCATACCATAGAGGAGGAGGTCCAACGCAGTGAAAAAAAATCAAGGCGGGGGTTTTGCACAATCTTCGGCCCCTAGGGGCCCTGGCAGGGCCCCCGAACCGTGCAAAAACGGCTGAGGAGGAAGAAACGGTCCTGGGGAAGGGGTCGAGACTTCTGGGGACTGCGCATTGCAAAAAATCACGGCATCGGATCTCTGGGCCCCAAGCGAAGGATCAAGTAGTTGCGAAGCGTCCCAGCTCGCCTATAGGTCGACCAAAGAATGTTCTAAGAACCTTCTGTGGTTTCCACGAAATGCTCTTAGAAGATTTCTGGCTGGGACTGTCTTGTGTTTACACATAGGGGTGATTTTCTCAGAACCTTGTTTTTGCTTTTTATAACAAGTTTGGGTTATAAGAGAATTTCGTGAAAGGCCTATAGGAATGCCGGGACGGTCGGTCCGTGCTCAACCAGAGGCCACGCATCTTGCTCCGGGCCGCTGTCGAGCAGGCGTAAAGAGTGACCTGTCGTCGGAGGGACCTTCCCAGAGATCCAACGCCGAATCTATTGGCCCTCGAGGTGCCCAGCCTCGGCCCTCCTCGGAGTTCCTGTCCTCTGCGAGCAGGTTGTCGACTTGGAAGGTCTCGACCAGAGCAGCGGCGGGACAGGCTGTGCCGCAACGGCACGTAGCACGGTATGTATACGCATGGATGCGCACGTAGCGTAGCACGACAGGCCATGCAGCAACGGCATGTAGCACGTAGCACGGCAGCAGCGGCACGTAGCACGCTGTGACAGGGACGCATGGATGCCGCCGTCGACCTGCAAGCTCCGAATTATCATGGCAGGCCAGGGCGGCTGAGCAGCTGCTCCGTCGCCGCGGCGCGATCTGACCACGAAGCGTCTGGGAACCTGCACGGAGGAGTACGAGTAGGAGAAGGCGTTAGGAGGAGGAGGAGGAGGAGGAGGAGGAGGAGGACGAGGAGGAGGAGGAGGAGGAGGAGGAGGAGGAGGAGGACGAGAACGAGGACGAGAGGAGGAGAGAGGAGGAGGAGGAGGAGGCGGAGGAGGAGGAGGCGGAGGAGGAGGAGGAGAGCGGCTGCGGAGACGGGCCACGGGAGGAGGGAATCCAGAGGGTGGAAGAGCACGCGCTCCCCGAGCCTGCGCCTCCGCGCGGCGCTGCCCTCGCCACTCCGTGCAGGTGTCGCTGCCGTGCGGGGGCGAGTGGGAGGCCCTGCAGGCCGGAGGATGTCGTCTGCCCGTCCGTCAGCCACCCCTGGTTGGAGGGTTCCCCCGAAGGACTTATGCGACCCGTTCTCCTGCTCCTCCCTCCTCCTCCTCCTCCTCCTCCTCCTCCTCCTCCTCCTCCCCTCCTCCTCCTCCTCCTCCTCCCTCCTCCCTCCCTCCTCCCTCCCTCCCTCCCTCCCTCCCTCCCTCCCTCCCTCCCTACTCTCCTCTCCTCCCTCCTCCCTCCTCCCTCCTCCCTCCCCCTCCTCCCTCCTCCCTCCTCCTCCCTCCTCTCCTCCCTCCTCCTCCTCCTTCCTCCTCCTCCTCCTCCCTCCTCCTCCTCCTCCTCCTCCTCCTCCTCTTCCTCCTCCTCCTCCATCCCTTCCTCCTCCTCCTCCTCCTCCTCCTCCTCCTTCTCCTCCTCCTCCATCTCCTCCTCCATCTCCTCCATCTCCTCCTCCTCCTCCTCCTCCTCCTCCTCCTCCTCCTCCTCCTCCTGCTCCTCCTCCTCCTCCTCCTCGGGTCGCCTACGGCCCCAGGGCAAACCTTGCACCCCTGGTTACCTGCCTGGAGCATGTCCCTATCTCTAAGATTGGCGTCGCCTTGTCTCGAAGCCGATCTTACGGATTCCTTCCGTTTCGGAGGGCACATCCTTGAGGTCGTAATCGCTTTGGGCTTGCCCATCTCTGGGGGCAGGGATGAGTTCGAGTCTGGTTGTCTGGCCAGGCCCGAGCTTGGCCCAGGATCGGCCCGGCCCCGCCAGTGAGAGGAGGCAGTCGCTGCGATCCATGGGCCCAGCGCCGGCATGGCCAGCACCGCCTGGCGCGGCGTAGTCGGCGTCCTCCCATACAGGGGGAAGGCGGCGACGGCGAAGGCGGGCGGCCGATCTACTCGCAGTACGCCTCCCTCTCCGGCTGCCATGCGCGGGAGGAGCCGGCGGGCTGGCAGCCTGGGGGGTAGGCAGGCGGACGACGGGTGGGAGGGGGGAGGGGGGGGAAGGGGGGGAGAAGAGAGGGAAGGGGGAGCGTGCAGGTGTGGACGGAGAGGCGGAGGCGAAGGAGGGGCAGCGGCAGCAGCAGCGGCAGGACGAGGGGGAGGACGAGGACGAGGCGGGGGAGGACGAGGAGGACCAAGGGATGGCCGCGATCGATCGAGGGGGAGGGCGATGACGGGGAGGGGGCAGGTGGGTGGGCGATGATGTTCGTTCTCCGTCCCTTGAGGCTGCTGCTCCTCTCTCGTCCTTCTCGTGCTTATCGTCTTGCTCCTTCTCCTTCCCCTCCATTGCGTAACCCCTTCACCTACATATCCTCCTCCATCCTTGATCTCATAGGTAACTCCTCCCTTTCGCACCCCCATTCGTTTCGCTTGAGACTTCATGAGACGTCGCCACCATGGATGATTCTGAAGCTTTCAGCTTGCGACAACCTCCTGGATTGTTGGCGGGTGGTTTTCACAATGTGGTTCTCGCTTGATCGCCGCGCACATTCGTCTTGAACGTTCGCAGCAGCTTCAAGGATGGAGGACGGGTGGTTTTTAAACTGTGGTTCTCGGTCTAGTGCCATGCACACGTTTTCTTAAAAGGAGGGGGAGCGCTGAATGGATGGGGAAGTAGAATTATGGTGGCGGGTGTGGTAGAGGTATTGGGTCGGGGGAGTCTCCTGTAGAAAGAACTACGGGCGGGGGATGGTAAAGGGGGAGCAGAGACGGGAGAGGGACAAAGGACTGGGGCGGGGAGCGGGGAGGGATGGCAGAGGGGACGGTTGTGGGAGACTTGTTCTTGCTTTCCCCCTGGTGGCATCCCCAGCACGTGTTCCACCACCTATGTGGCATCCTCTTCCTCCATCTCCTCCTCCTCCTCCTCCTCCTCCTCTTCCTCCTCTTCCTATGTATGTATGTGAATATATATATATATATGTAGTCCACCATCCAGGCTCTGCTTGGATGTTTCACCTGCATGCGGTTATTCACCTGTCCAGTTTGGATGAGAGGTCGGTCGTTGGTTCGACCGCTTACATGGTATCTCGTCGACCGCATTCGGGGACGTAGAGCAGCGAGGAAAGGCGCACCCTTGTTGATGCCGACGCTCTCCGTCCTTGTATTCCTCATCTTCCTCCTTCCGCCCCCATCCCGAACAACGGCCTCGCGGTGCAGCGGCACTGAAAAACATTAGACGCGTCGCGTAACTTTTGCCACCCTTTCCAAACACGTAGTCCAGGCGAGTTACCTTGAGGAACATGCAGTGGAGTAAGGGGCGGGGGAAGCCGTCGTACCCCGAGAGAGGGAGGATGGATTAGGAAACAGATGAGAGGGAGGGGGAGGGGGAAGGATGATGGAGGAGGGGGAGGAGAAATTGGCTGGGTGAGGAGGAGGAGGAGGAGGCGGAGGAGGAGGACGAGGAGGATGAGGAGGGCGAGCAAAATGACCAGAGGACTCTTGCCCCTTGAAAGCTTACTGGCGTCCTCTTGGGTCGTCTTGGGGGCTTCTTGGCGGTCCTGGGGCCTATTCGAGCGTCTTGGGTACCTCGAGGGATCACTTTCGAGCCCCTGGGTTTTTTCTTGGGGGCCTCTTGGGCGCCTCGTTGGGGCCTCTTGGGGCCGCCTGGGCGCCTCTTGGGGCACTCCTGGAAGCTTCTGGGGCCATCTTGGGGCCATCTTGGATGCGCTCTGTCAAAGAAGGGTGGGAGGCACTCGGTTAGACTTGCCCCCCCCCCAGGGAGGCAGCATTTGCCCAACATCTAAGGCACATCAGTGATTCGTGCCGTCTCGCCGAGGCCATCTTAGACCGCCCAATCAGTCGCGAAGCCTCCCGTCCAGGTCCAGGGGCAGGGGGAGGGGTCAGCACACCCTCCCCGCCCGCAAGCTGTCTCGCTCACGCCCACCCGCCCTCCCAACACACAAGTACGTAGGACCCGAGCCTCAGCATGTTCAGCGGGCGCCCATTCACGGGCTGCCACAGGGAGCCGACACAGACCTCACGTGCGCCGCGCGAGCCCGGCGCGCCGCGCGCGCTAGGCATCCCTGGGGCCCACGCGTGCTGGGCATGGCCAGCGCGCCAGATGCGCCACGTGGTCCACATGATCAAAATACTACTTTACAAGAGCAAATTTCATATACAGGTCAAAAACGATAAACAATAAAATTGTTGTCGAATGTAGTATAATATATGATCTATGAAGAGTTTTACATGATCGCCACGTGTGCCGCGTGGCCCGGCTGCGCCAAGTGGGCCACGCTCGGGGCACGCGCAGAGCATATCAGGTGCGCCCGCGGCACGTGACAGCACACCTCGGGACTCATGTCGGCCCCCGCCATCCTTGGCGAGCGCTTTCTCATCCATGGTGGTGCCGATCGGCGCGGGCCTCCGCCCCGCCCGGCCCCCCCCCCGTGGAGTAGATCTTGGCGTTTTTTTCGGCGCGGCGTGTTTCAAGTAGGTGGACTAAGCACGGGGGCCCCGCCATCTTCCCCCCCCTGGTGGGCACGCGAGTCCCTGTTTCGCGAAACAGTGCGTGTGTTTCCCGGGCCCTCGGGAAACTCAGAAAGGGGCTCCAGGGCGCCAGACGCGCTGGAAGAGAACAGATTCCCGGGGGTAGCCAGTTGGTACTTGACGGGTTCCGCTTGGATTCCAAGTGGACTCCAATCTCCTTATGTCTAATTGCATTCCCATAAGATGGAGCACACTCCTGATCCAGAGGATTCGAGTTCAATTTAACTTGGATTCTAGTTGAATTCCAATTGGAATGAACATCCAATTGGTTTCCGTTTGGTCCCAATTGGATTATGATTGGGTCCGATTGGGTTCCAATTGGCATGGAGCAGATCTAAATTCCAGAGGCACCACATTGGATTCCAAGTGTTTTCAATTGGAATCCCAGTAGAATCGAGCGGACCCCAGATACAAAAAGAGTTCCAAACAGATTCACTAAGCAGGTGCTCGGAGCCAGACCCCCCTCCTCCCCCCTTGTGCCAAATGCCGAAACACCAGCAAAATTAGCCTGGCGACAGTGTCGCAGATGTGAGTATCGTCTTCGGTGGAGCTCCCGATGGGGCCACGAACCGGGTGAAGGGGTGCACCGAAATGAGGGTGGAACTGCATGCGAACCTTGCCATTGGGGCCTTCGATGGAGCTCCCTCTGGGGCCACGAACCGTGTGAGGGGTGCGCCGAAATGAGGGTGGAGCTGCATGCGAACTCTGCCAATAGGGCCTTCGGTGAAGCTCCCGATGGGGCCACGAACCGTGTGAGAGGGGTACCAACATGGGGGCGGAACTGCATGCGAACTTTGCCACTGGGGCCTTCGATGGAGCTCCCTATGGGGCCACGAACAGTGTGAGGGGTGCGCCGAAATGAGGGTGGAGCTGCATGTGAACCTTGCCACTGGGGCCTTTGATGGAGCTCCCTATGGGGCCACGAACCGTGTGAGGGGTGCGCCGAAATGAGGGTGGAAATGCAGGCGCACCCTGCCACTGGGGCCTTCGGTGGAGCTCCCTACGGGGCGAACCGTGTTAGGGGTGCGCCGAAATGAGGGTGGAACTGCATGCGAATCCTGCCATTGGGGCTTTCGGTGGAGCTCCCTACGGGGCCACGAACCGTGTGAGGGGTGTGCCAACATGAGGGTACAACTGCATGCGAACCCTGCCAATGTGGCCTTGGATGGGGCTCCCTATGGGGCCACGAACCGTGTGAGAGGCACAGAAATGGGGGCGGAATTGCATGCGAACCCTGCCGCTGTGGCATTCGATGGAACTCCCTATGGGGCCACGAACCGTGTGAGGGGTGCGCCGAAATGAGGATGGAAGTGCATGCGAACCTTGGCACCTGGGGCCTTTGATGGAGCTCCTTATGGGGCCACGAGCCGTGCGAGGGGTGCGCCGAAATGAAGGTGGAACTGCATGCGAACCCTGCAACTGGGGCCTTCGGTGGAGCTCCCTCTGGGGCCTCGAACCGTGTGAGGGGTGCGCCGCGATGAGGGTGGAATTGCATGCGAACCCTTTCTCTGGGGCCTTCGGTGGAGCTCCCTCTGGGGCCACGAACCGTGTGAAGGGCTCGCCGAAATCAGAGTAGAACTGCATGCGAACCTTGCCATTGGGGCCTTCGGTGGAGCTCCTCATAGGGCCACGAACCGTGCGAGGGCGTGCAAGAATATGCGGGGAACGGTGGCAATGATGGTGATGATGACGGCCGTAATGGTGATGACGATGGTGATTACGATGACGGTGACGAGTTTGATGAGGATGATGTTGGTGATGATGTTGGTGCTGATGTGATGCTGATGATGAGATGATGCTGACGACGATGATGATGATGCTGCTGCTGATGATGATGATGATGATGATGATGATGGTGATGCTGATGGTGGTGATGATGATGATGATGATGGTGGTGATGCTGATGACACTGTTGATGGTGATGATGCTGATGATGATGAGGAGGAGGAGGATGTTGATGATGGTGGTGCTGATGCTGATGTGATGTGCTGATGGTGATTGTTATGATGCTGCGGTAATGATGGTGGTGTTGATGCTGATGTGATGTGCTGATGATGATGATGGTGATGATGCCAATACTGATGATGATGCGGATGATGATGCTGATGATGACGATGCCGATGACGATGACGATGATGAGGATGATGATGATGATGATGATGATGATGATGATGATGATGATGATGAGGATGAGGATGATGATGATGGTGATGGGTGGAGGGAGGAGGGGGAGGAGGAAGGAGAGGAAACATGGACGCGGGGCGCTGCCTTTTCAAAACGAGGACCCCACACAGGATGGTTGGGACAAACAGAACACTTGTCGAAAGCCAATGCACAATCGCGGCGGGGAGGCCATCGTTTCTGGTGGGCCTGTACACAGCAGGCAGTATGCCAGCACCCCCGCCGTCCTTGTCAAAAACCACTGGGCAGTGATCGCGGGGTGGCGGCGCATGATCCAGATTGATCCGCGAAGTGGATTTGTTATTTTCCTTTGACAGCGATGGTGGCCTTGCGGACGGCAGGCAATATGAGGCCCCCCCCGCTGTCTTAGTGTAAAAATGCAAGCCAAGTGCTGGTGGGGCCCACGAGCATGGCCCAGAATCTTGCTCCAACGTGTATGTTGTTTTTTGCTTGACGAGGACGGTGGGGTGTATGTTGTCAGTGGCCATGGTTGGCTTTCGGTCGCCTGGAGGAGGGACGAGTGGTTTGGTTGGCTTCCAGGCGCCTGGAGGAGGGGGTGTTTATTCACAGGAGACAGTGATCAAGTCAACCACTAGCAACAAGCAGTCTCGCTCAGTCCCACACGCACTCCCAACAAAGTAGCACTCGAGCCTCAGCATGGACAGGGGCCGCCAGTGACAACAAGCGAGAACCAATGCAGGCGCCAGCCAAGTGCCCGAAGCCCGCGAGGTGCGCCACACATGCTAGCGGCGCCACGCGCACCAGTTGCACCACATTAGGCATTCTGTCGACCCTCCCACCGTCCTTGTCAGAAAACCAATGCAAAGTGACGGCCGGTCAGGATCGCGTTGCGCTTGTTTTGTCGACAGGGATGGCGGGCCTGCGCACAGCAGGCAGTATGCAGACACCCCTCGCCGTCCTTGGCAAAATTAGTATGTTCCCCATTTTGGAAGGGATGGTGGGCTTGAACGCAGCACGCAATACGATGACACCCCCGGATGATCAGCGAAAATGTTGCAATACGTTTGAACGCAGCAGCAGGCAATGCGCTTTCACGCGCTTTGGTCTGCGTCCGCGCATGACCGTCTATAATATGCTGCGTCTTCACGCTGCGTCCAACTTTGGTGCAACTTGTTCTCGCTTTTTTTGGAAGGGGTGTTTGAGGAGCTTTGGCATTGTACAAGGCAGCCGATATGCTGCCTCCCCCCAACCGTCTCTGTCAACAACCCATGCAACAGATTTTGGTGCAAAGTGCACTTGGCCTGCGCGCCGCAAGCAGTGATTGGATAATGGGGGTGCCAGGGTTTTGCCACGGATGGGAAGGGTGCCACTAACCCATGCCAAGGTTGTCCCAAGGATGGAAGGGGGGTACGAGCATGCGCGCAGCAAGCAATATGCTGGCACCCTCGCCATCCCTGTCAGAGACTTGCGCAACGTGGTCGCATAGCGCACGTGCATTTCACAGATGAGAAAGCAAAGTGAGCGTTGTATTGCTTTGTTGACAGGTATGGGTGGGGGGGGGCGTTGGGTCTGGGTTGGCTGACGGTTGGGTGCGGGAGGGGACGCTTATCAATAGGAAACGGTGATGAACCCTCCCCGAAGGTGAAGAAGGGGGTGGAAGAGGAAACTCCCCAAAGCACTCACACCCAGAGAGCTGTCGGACTACATGCAGGCGTCCGACGGGAGCGGTTCATTTGCCAATCGTGCTTGGAGCCGTCTTGTTTATTGCACGGTGCTGCTGGTTGTAGAATTCATAGCGGCGGGCCAGCCGGCAGAATGCCGTGGTCTCGAAATTTTGTTAGGAGTCAGTGTGGAAAGTCTGTTCTTTGAAGCCAAATCTGATCTGAGAAGCGAGGTGGTTTGAATTTGTGTGTATCTGTGTGTGCGCGTATTGTTTGTTCACATCGGGATGCAGGACACACGCGCTGACAGAGGAGCATGTTCTTTGAGGCCACACTTGACCTGCATCGCTATGTAGTCAGCGCTGGTCTCCCCATCGTGGCCGATAGGAGCAGTGCGTGTTCAACCACCCACTCGAGCTACACTTCGCGCAGAACGCCCCGAGGCACGGAAGATAGCGAGGGTGCAAGATGACGAGGAGCATAACCACAAGGAAGGGAAAGGGAAGGGGATAGGCGGGGAGGAAGACGTTGAGGAGGGCCAAGAGGAGGACGAGGATAAGGAGAGGGAAGATGTCGACGAGGACGAGGGTAGGAGGGGGAGGGGGAGGGACAGCGGGATAACGAGGGTGAGGAGGACCATGAGGAGGGAGGGGGAGGAAGTGCAGGAGGAGGCTGGCAATGACGAGGAGGGTGACGAGGACGAGGAGGACGATCAGGAGAAAGGGGAGTGGAAGGGGAAGCGGATGTGGGGACACAGGACTATGATGATTCCGAGGAAGCCTTTATAGAGGAGGGGGAGGATGAGGAGGAGGGAGGGAGGGAGGGAGGGAGGGAGGGAGGGAGGGAGGGAGGGAGGGAGGGAGGGAGGGAGGAGGGAGGGAGGGAGGGAGGAGGAGGAGGGAGGAGAGGAGGAGGAAGGAGGAGGAGGAGGAGGGAGGAGGAGGAGGAGGAGGAGGAGGGAGACAACGGGAGCGGATGCCGAGGAGCACGTCGAGGAGGACCAGGAGGACGTCGGGACGACGAGAATGCAGGGGGGATGGGGACAGGAACCGCAACGACGAAGGGGAGGAGGGGCAAGGAGGGGAAGAGGGACCGGGGAGGAGGGGCGGAGGAGGAGGAGGAGGAGGAGCAGGAGGACAACGGGGAGGGCGGAGGAAGATCAGCAGAACCAGGAGCTGGAGTGGAGCGACGCGACGGAGCCGACGACGCCGACGGCGACCGGGCGCCACACGCCGCGCCTCGCGCGGCACGCCCCCTTGACCGAGGCGGCCGCCTGGCGACGGCCCACCCGCGGACTCGCTGCCGCCGCGCCTGGTGCTGCAGCTGCTCCAGGCTGGCGCCCTGGGGGCCAGCATCGTCAGGAACAGGGCGACGGGGAGCAGGGCGGCGGGGAGGAGGAGGACGACGACGAGGACGCCGACGAGGAAGACGACCGAGGACGAGGGCGACGAGGAAGGGGACGGCGACGGCGGCGACGATGGGGGCGACGACGAGGGAGGGGACGGCGTGGCAGACCGTGACATCCTCGCGTCGTGAGGGTATCACGACGGGAGATGTTTGGCCGTGCTTGGCTTTGGAGGGGGCCCTCACCGAGCCCCTAGGCTGTCAAAAACTACTCAGGATGAAGTCCGTCCCTGGGCAGGGGTCCAGATCTGTGAGGAGTCAAGTTGTGAAGAAATTGCGACGTCGGGTGTCTGGTAAGGAGTCTACTCCTGAGAGTCGCCAGGCTCGAAACATAACATTCGGTGCACATCAAATTGTCTGAGCTCCAAGCTGGTCTCTTGGATCTGGGCTCAATGTCCCCTGGCGGCGCCTTCGGCGTCGCCCCTGGACGTGCTTTGTATGCGAGAGAGGGGTGGACCTGCGTCGATCCACAAAACCCGCGTTGCCCTCCGAACGTGTGTTTACCAGAAGTTCTTTTTGTAAAAAGGCCTACCCCATCCGCAATGGGCCAGGATCCCGTATCGCCATCAGCACAGCACACCCCCTCGAGGTGGGTATCGATGACGCAGAGCCCGGCGAAGGCGGTACCTATCCCCACTTGGGGGGTACGACGGACAGCGGCGCCAAGGCCGTCCCAGCCTAGATGGGGATAGGTTTAACGATGCGGGTTGGGACAACCACAACGACGAGCTGCGACGGGTACGACGGCGACGAGCCTCGACGACGAGGACGAGGAGCGTCGACGAGGACGAGGAATCGAAGGAGGACGACGACACCGGCGACGAACTTGTAGACTTCAGGTGTCGCGTCCTGTCGTCGTCCTCCTCCTTGTTCCGCATTGCGCATTTGTGTCCTCCTTATCATGCCCTGGATCAGATTCCTGATCCTGTCCATCCTCAAGCCCTGGTCTCAGTTTCTACTCGTACCCCTCCCCCCTCATGGCTCACGTCGTCCCCCTACCTACGTTCTCATTCCTGCGCCTCTCTCCTCTTCAGCAAGACCTTCCTCGTGCCCATGATCATGGTCCTGTTCCCGATCCCGTCTCTGATCATCCTTGCTGTTAACCTCCTGCTCCTGTTCCTGTTCACCCACTTGCACGTGGCCCTGGTTTTCCTTGCTGGCATGTTTCTCCTCGATGTTGTTCAGAATAGCAGTATCCTAGCTGACATGTTGCTCCTCGAATGCATTATGCTCCTCGATGCTGGTGTTCTGCTCCTCGCTGGCATTCGTCGCTGGCAGTTCTCAATGCTTTGTGGATCGAGCGCGTAGATTTGGATGGGGGGTCGAGCTTCCCATGATGGACACCTGACCTCGGCTTATCAAGATCGTTTGAATAAGAGCTGGGAGGAGGAGGAGAAGGAGAAGAAGGAGGAGGAGGAGGAGGAACAAGAAAAAGGAGAACGAGGAGAATGAGGATGGGGTTGGCGCTGCAATGGCGAGGGGGCCGAGGACGGGGGAACGCGAGGCAGATGGGGGAAAGGAGCCCAGGACACGAAGCAGGAGTGGGCAGGAGGCTGGGCTGGAAGAGGCCGAAGGCTGGGGAGGAAGGGGCTGTTGTGGACAGACCTGAAGTCAGAGAGAAGACTAAACCCCACCCTCAGAATCGGAAGACTCCTCGGGATCCTGGGGGGGCCTTCCTGGCCGCCTTGCCCAGGGCCTTGCCAAGGCCCGGGTCGCCCTCTTCGAGGCCGGACGCCAGCAGGACTGGGGAGGAAGGGGAGGAGCAGCACAACCATCAGAACGCCATAAACATAAACGTTTGGCGCTCCGCGCGGATTTCTTGGATCCGCGCTGGGCCCCCCTGGCGGCGCCTCCGGCTCTGCCCCCGGCGTCCTCCGCGCGCCAGGGAGGGGGGGTCCGCCGCGGATCCAAGAAAGCCGCGCGGAGCGCCAAAAGGTTATGTTTGTGGCGCTGCTTCTTCCTCGATGGCGGAGGCCGCCGCCTCAGGTCGACTCCTGGGAGCGGCACTCCCTGCACGGCTACGCCTTTGTGGACATCCCCCAGCAGCCCGGCGAGCACGAGGTGGGCCCTTCCAGAGCGGGCCTCCCTCGGCGACGCGTCCGCGTGATCGTTCGCTGGGGCTGCCCTCGAGTGGGGGCCCAGTGGGAAAAAAACACACAACAAACACACGCAAAAACACACACACAACAAACACACACACACAAAAAAAAAACACACACACACACAGTGTTTTGTGTGTGTGTGTGTGTGTGTTTTTTGTGCTGTTTCTTGTGTGTGTGTGTGTTTATTGTGTGTTTTTCCCACAGCCACTCGTTCGCTGAACGCGATGCGGCAGCAGCGGCCGGCGCGCCTCTCTGTGCGTGTGCGCGTGCGTCCCCCGAGGGCCCCCCGGGGCCGCGCACCAGAGGCCGTCCTTGCCGAGGGACGCTCCTGGCGTGCAGCCGACTCCCCCGAAAGAGTGGCCTCTCCCTGTCGGCGCAGGCCGGCGCACGACGGCGGCAGTGACGCCACACTCTTCGGGGCCGTCCCACAGGGGGTGATGCTTAGGTGCGCGCGTGTGTGAGTGTGTGTGTGTGTGGGTGTGGGTGTGCGTGCGTGTGCGTGCGTGTGCGTGCGTATGCGTGCGTGCGTTCGTGCGTGTGTGTACGTATGTATGTTTGTCTGCATACATGCATGCATGCTTGTCTGTATGTATGCATGCATGCATGCATATACATATATATATATATGTGTGTATGTATGTATGTATGCATGCATGTATGTATGTATGTATATACGTATGTATGTATGTATGTATGTATGTATGTATGTATGTATGTATGTATGTATGTGTGCATGTATGTATGTGTGTATGTATGTATGTATGTGTGTATGTCTGTCTGTCTGTCTGTCTGTATGTATGTATGTATGTATGTATTATGTATGTGTCTGTCTGTCTGTCTGTCTGTCTGTCTGTCTGCCTGTATGTATGTATGTATGTATGTATGTATATCGATGTATGTATGTATGCATGCATGTATGTATGTATGTATGCACGCGCACGTGCATGTATGGATGCATGTGTGTATGCATACACGCATGTATGTATGTATGTATGTATGTGTGTGAATGGATGTATGTGTGTATGTATGTATGTGTGTATGTATGCATGTATGTGTGTGTATGTATGCATGCATGCACACATGCATGCATGTATGTATGTATGTGTGTATGTGTGTATGTAGACATGTGTGTATGTACGAATGTGTGTACGTGTGGGTGTACGTCTGAATGTACATATGTGTACATGTGTGTATGCATGTATGCATGTATCTATGTAGATGTGTGTGTACGTATGTATGTATGCATGCATGCATGCATGCATGTATGCATGTATGTATGTATGCATGCATGCATGCATGCATGTATGTATTCATATGTAGGTGTGTGTGCATGTGTGTATGTATGCATGCATGCATGTATGCATGCATGCATGCATGTATGTGTGTATGTATGTATGTAAATGTGTATGTGTGCATGCATGCATGTATGCATGTATGTATGGATGTATATATGGATGTAGGTATGGATGTAGGCACGTATGTAGGTATGTATGTGTTTAGGCCTACATGCATGCATGTAGGTATGTATGTATATATGGATGGATGGATGGATGGATGGATGGATGGATGTATTGATGTGTGTCTGAGTGTGTGTGTGTGTGTGACTGTGTGTGTGTCTGCGCGTGCGTGTGCGTGTGCGCGTGCGTGTGCGTGTGCGTGTGCGGGCGTGCGCGCGCGTGTGTGTGTGTGTGTGCGTGTGTGTGTGTGTGTCTGTTGCGGTCTTCGAGATCTCGGCCGGGCGCAGACGCGCGCTCTCGGCTGTTTTCATTCGACGTTCTGCGCCCCGTCGCCGCGAGCAAGACCGCGACGCCAAAGAGTGCGTTTGGTGGCTGCACCGCTACCTGGGCCCACTGGGCGTGTCACCGACCCATATGGCCTGTGACTTCGGCGAGGCGCCTTCACCCCAGGAGGCGCCCGCTCATTGATCCGCCTGTCTGTGCACCTGTTAAGTCCGTTTCGCCTGGCGCGCCTCCCACCCCAAGGAGTGCGCCTCGTCAGACGCCTTCCATCCCAGGAGGCGCCCCGTGACCTCATCCACATGTCTGTGCGCCTGTTAGGTGCGCTTTGCGCGGCGCGCCTCCCACCCCGGGTGGCCCACCTGCTTTCAGCCCCCTCTTGCGCGCCACCCGCCCCAGGTGATACGCTGGCCGCTGTGGGCGCGCCCCCGCTTCCTTCAAACCTGCTGTGCACCGGTTAGGTGCGTCGCCACGGGCGCGTCGTCCACCCCAGGCGGCGCGCCCCACCTGGCCTTCGCGCGTCAGCTGGCCCAGGTGAGGCGCCCTCGCCCGCCCGCCTCCCGGCGGCGAATGCTTTTGCTTATGCACCGCAGACGCCCGCTTTGCGTGCCGTCCACCTCGGATGGTGCGCCCGGTCTCGCCGCGGGCGTACCAGGACGCCCATGCAGGTGCTGCGCCTCACGCTGCCCGAGGCCCTTCCCAGCTCGCGGTCACCGGCTCACGCACCGGCTGCGGGTTACTGGCCTCTGCATGCGGCGCGCCTGCTGTCACGGCTGCGCGCCCCCGGACCGCCCGCCGCTGGGGCGCCGCGAAGCGCGCTCCGCCCTGGCTTGGCGCGCTCTCAGACTCACCGGCCATGGACCCCGCAGGTTGGCCGCCGCCCCTGGTGGCAGCTCTTACTGCCCCAACTTGGGGGGCACCGCCGTTGCGGCACCCTCCCTCCCCATTGGCTGTGATGCGTGCGCTGGCCCTGGGCTCGGCTTGCTGCCTCTTCGCCCCCTTTTCCGCCGCCCCTTGCCGTTGCGCGTTGCCACGCGCCGCTCGGCGGCCCTTGGGCGCCAGCACTATTCCTGCACCTTGCCTCGCCTGGCCTCGTTGGCTCCCCCCTCTCGCGTGGCTGCCCGCCTCGTTGTAGCCGCGCGGCACCACGCCGGGTCTTACGCCCACCCGCCGCCGTCGCTCCCCGCCGCGGCCCCAGCTCGCCCCTGGCGACCCCGGCCCCTCCTGGGGCCTCCTGGGGCTTCCTGGGGCCTCCTGGGGCCTTCTGGGGCCTCTTGGAGTTTTTTGTCGTTTCCTGGAGCCCCATGGACCCTCTTGGGGTCTCCTGGGGCCTCCTGGGGCCTCCTGGGGCCTCCTGGGGCCTCCTGGGGCCTCCTGGGGCCTCCTGGGGCCTCCTGGAGCTTCCTGTGACCTCCTGGAGCCTCCTGGGGCTTCTTGGGGCCTCCTGGGGCCGCCCCCCTTGGCGGCCCCCTGCCTCCGCTGCCTTTCACTTGCTGGGCCCCGCCTTGCACTGCGGCTGCCCGCTCCTCCCTTCAGTGCGCCCGCGACGCCGCCCCGCGTTCGTTGCTAGGGGCTGCCCTGCGGCGTGGCCGCCCCGTGCGCCCCCCGCGGCCTCGCCGCGTGAGTGCGCCGTCCTTCCTCCTCCTCCTCCTCCTCCTCCTCCTCCTCCTCCTCCTCCGCCGTCCTCCGCCGTCCTCCGCCGTCCTCCTCCTCCTCCTCCTCCTCCTCCTCCTCCTCCTCCTCCTCCCCTCCGTTCCCCTTCCTCCTCCTCCTCCTCCTCCTCCTCCTCCTCCTCCTCCGCCTTCGCCTCCTCCTCCTCCTCCTCTCCTCCTCCTCCTCCTCCTCCTCCTTCCCCCTCCTCCTCCTCCTCCTGTCTCTGCGGCCGGTACTCTTTTTGTTGCTCGTGCACGCGGGACACTTCGCAATGCCGTAGCCTAGATGGCGCGAGCGGGTCACCCCTGCCGCGCCGCGACGGAAAAATGTGGTTGGATAGGGGCGGGGTTCTGGACGCCCGAAATGGGTACTGAAAGAATGGGTACAATGCCCAACACCAATTCCTGTTAATTTCTAACAGGAGTCGCTGTCCACGCCGCCGCGGCCTGTGTCCATTCGAGACAGAAGGGCGCCTGCCCAACAGCGGCCGCTGTTGGCTTGGGACAACATTTGTTGTTGGGCATAGTGCCCATTCTTTCCGTATCCATTTCGGGCGTCCAAAGGGGTGGGTCTGAGGGGGTGTGGGGGGTACCATGGTTGGGGCCATGAGATATCCTGGTTTCCACGGCCCTTTGTTTCTTCATCTGAATCGTATTCCCTTTTCCTTTCCTGCAGTGCATTCGCTGGATCCCCTTCGTCCGCGTGCACTGTTCGAGCCACCAGTGCCCTGGCAGGGCACGGGGCTGCGCACACGCAGCAAAGAAGCTTCGCACCGCCGCCACCCGCAGGGGCGACACGGGGCGAGGCCTCCGGCACCTCCTCCTCCTCCTCCTCCTTCTCCTCCTCCTCCTCCTCCTCCTGCTCCTCCTCCTCCTCCTCCTCCTCCCCCTCCTCCTCCTCCTCCTTCTCCTCCTCCTCCTCCTCCTCCTTCTCTCCTCCTCCTCCTCCTCCTCCTCCTCCTCCTCCTCCTCCTCCTCCTCCTCGCTCCTCCTCCTCCTCCTCCTCCTGCTCTTCCTCCTCCTCCTCCTCCTCCTCCTCCTCCCTCCTCCTCCTCCTCCTCCGCCCCGGGGCGTCGACGCCGCCCAGCGATTGCTCGGCAGCCGGCTGCGGCAACAACAAAGCGCTGGCTCCAGAGGCTGTCTGTGCGCCGCCTTGAGCGCTTGTAAAACGACGCGAAGATCGGGACAAAATCGGATCCGATCCGATTTTGTCCCGATCTTCGTGCAGTTTTAGGAGCATGCCTCCAATGGCGGGCTTGTTCGGAGCACTCGCACGGAGAACTGCCCGAGGAGTCGCCCATGCAGAGAACAAGCCTTTGCAGCGAAGGGGAGACACTGAGAGGCGCACGGGCGCCTCATTTGCCTGGGTAGCCCGCGCGGTCCCAGTGCTCTCTGAGGGACCTTCCTTCGGAAGTCTCTCGGAGGCGTGCTTCGGGGTGTCTTGGGGCCTCTCTAGGTAAAACGACGCGAAGATCGGGACAAAATCGGATCGGGATAACTCGAAATCTCTGAGAATCGGCGGGTTTGGAGGATGTATTGGGCGCCGCGGCCGCTCCAGAGCGTTCCGGAACGCTCTGAGAGCGCTCCGGAACGCTCTGGAGCGATTTATCCTGATCCTAGCCCTGTTTTAGCTTGCGTTCCCGCTGTTCCTTCCGGCTCTGCGCCTCACCGTGTTCCGTCCTCTTCCCCCGCGCACGCGTTCCTCCCGCCCTTGCTGTGCCCAAGTAGGCCACGTAACCTCACGGAGTATTTAAGAACCCCCCCTCCCCGTCCAGCTAAAGGATAGCGCTTCCCGCCCTGGGAAGCGTTATTCCCGCAACGGAAAAATGATGTGGCTCGCATCTTCGCGCCGCGCGCACTCGTTTCACTAAATTGCAAGATTTTCACGGGTTGAGGGCAGTTATTGGCTCTCGCCCCAGCGCCGCGCACATTCGCTTCAACAATTTGCAAAAGCTTCACGGTTTGACGGCATTTTTATTTCAACATGTTGTTCTCGATTCAGCGCCTGGTGCATCGGCTTCAAATAATGACAGACTTTCGCGGGTTTTTAAGGCGGGTAGTTTTCAAAATGTTGCTCTCGCATTCGCGCCGCGCACGCTCGTTACAAAAGCTTCACTGAGGGCGGCTCGTTTTCAAAACGTTGTTCTCGCCCCAGCACAGTGCACATTCACATTGAAAACGCTGTAATTGCTTCACGTACAAGGCGGCTTGTTTTCAATATGTTGTTCTTGCCTGAGCGCCGCGTGCACTCGTTCCAACAACTTGCAGAAGTTTCACGGAAAGGGGGGCGGCTCGTTTTCAACATGTCGTTCTCGCCTCGGCGCCGCGCGCATTCATTTTGACAAAGTTGCAAGAGTTTCACGGATTGAGTGCGGCTCGTTTTCAAAAGGGTGTTTTTTTGCCTTAGCGCCGCGCACATTCTTTTCAAAAAACCGTGCGAGCTTCACGAAAGGAGGGCGGCTCTTTTTCAAGATGTGGCTCTCGACCCAGCGCCGCGCACAAACATTTTTTGAACAACCTGCAAAAGCTTCACGGATCGAGGGTGGTTCCACTACTGTACTCCATCTCTCGACTACTACCTACTATTCGATTTCGGTTATTACGGTTACGACGACTAGTACTATTGCAACGACCATGATTATTGCGACTAGTACTACTAGTATCATTCTACTACTATGACTACTACTACTACTACCACTACTACTACCACTACTACTACTACTACTACTACTACTACTACTACTACTACTACTACTACTACTTCTACTACTACTACTACTACTACTACTACTACTACTGCCACGACTACTGCTATTACTATTGGTGCTACTACTACTACTGTTACTACTACTACCTCTACTACTACTACTACTACTACTACAACTACTACTACTATTATACGTATTATACTTCTTCTTCTATTTTTATTACTACTACTACTACTTCTACTACTACTACTACCACCACTACTACTACAACTCATACAACTAATAGTACTACTACTACTACCACCACTACTACTACTACTACTACTACTACTGCTACTACTACTACTACCACCACCACCACTACTACTACTACTACTACTACTACTACTACTACTACTACTACTACTGCTACTACTGCTACTACTATTACTACTACTACTACTACTACTACTACTACTACTACTACTACTACTACTACTACTGCTACTGCTACTACTACTACTACTACTACTACTACTACTTCTAAGTTTACTATGATACTTCTACTTCTACTTATACTACGCTCTCCCCTCTCGCTCTCTCGTTCTTTCTCTTTCCCTACACCCATTATGTGTATGGTTATCTCTCTTTCTCTCTATCTCTCTCTGCCTCTAATCAACCGCCCCCCTCTTCGCTCCTTCTCTCCTGGCGTTTTCCCTCTTCCTTCGTCCCTCCCCCTCCCTTTCTCCCACTCTCCCTCGTTCTTTTTTTTTGTGCAGGAGGATTGTCCGCCTGTTCAGCTTTGCCCGCCTGTCTAAGCCCGCCGCCCCTTGCAACGAGAAAGAATCCCCCCAAAGGGGGTGTGATCGAAAACAAAAAGGGCGGGTATCGAAGGTGTGGGGAAATTCGTTTGGAATGGCACGTGGGCAAGTAAGAGCGAAGACTATTATCATGACTGTTGTTGTTGTTGCTGCTGTTGTTTGTTGTTGTCGTCGTCCCACCCGCAGCACACCCGCGACCCACCCCGCGACCCACCCCGCGACCTACTCCGCGACCCACCCGCGACCCACTCCGCGACCCACCCGGCGACCCAACCCGCGACCCACCCGCGACCCACCCCGCGACCCACCCGCGACCCACCCGCGACCCACCCGCGACCCACCCCGCGACCCACCCGCGACCCACCCCGCGACCCATCCGCGACCGACCTGCGACCCATCCGCGACCCACTTGCGACCCACCCGCGACCCATTCGGCGATCCACCCGCGACCCACCCGCGACCCACCTGCGACCCAACAGCGGCCCACCCGCGACCCAGCCACGACCCACTTGCCACCCATGTGCGACCCACCCGCGACCGACCCACATTGGTTTAACGAAAAAATTGGCGCCAGCGGCGGGCTCGTTGCATAAATTCTGAAACTTTGGCGCTTGCGGCGGGCTTCTCCAGAGTCTCGCAATCTGCCGACGTCCCCGCCGCCCCTTCACTTTGATCCGCATCTGCGGGGGGCTACGTTTACAAAACGAGCCGCCTTTAATTTGTGAACCTCGTGCATCTGTTTCAAAACGAATGTGCGCGGCGCTAGGGCGAGAGATAGATTTGGAAACCGAGCCTCCCACAGTCTGTGAAACTCTTGCAAATTTGTATACCGAATGCGCACGGCGCTAAGGCGAGAGCTAGATTTGAAAATCGATCCGCCTTCAATCCGTGAAATTCGTGCACTGTTTAAACGGCAATGTGTTCGGCGCTACGGCGAGAGCTATATTTTGAAAGCGAGCCGTTCTCAATCCGTGAAACTCGCGCAACTGTTTATAGCGAGTGCGCGCGGCGCTAAGTCGAGAGCTCGATGTTTAAAACAAGCCTGGGGGTGATTTGTTTGCTGCCTGGCACGTTGCCGAAGCTATAGTTCGGTTAAAATCGCCCCCAGGATGTTCTTGCTGTGCGGTGCTAAGGTAATCGCCGCCCACCAAACCACCCCAACCCAACCCGAAGGCCCCGATGTGCCTTACATTTTTAGTGGAGGGGGGGATCGGCAAACACTGAAACAACACACATGGAACCCTTCCCCACCCAAAACCCGAAATTCTGTCAAAATTCGGTTTTTCGGGTCGGGTTGGGTCGGGTTGGGGTGGTTTGGCAGGTAGTCAGATGACGGCGGGGGGCGACTGAAATTCTTCTCAAAAGGTTAGTGTCCCTCGGCCGCCCTCGACCGCGGCCGGGACCCGCGCCGCTGCGGCCAATCAGTGCGCCACCACTGGGCCCTGCGAGTCGTGCCCCTCCAAAGAGCTGGAGCGTTCTAAACAGGGCCTCGCTGCCGAGGGATCGGGCGATCGTTTTTTATTCATTGTGTTGCCGTTCGGCGCGGGTCCTCTTACCCCCCCCTCCCCCCCCCCGTGGAGTAGATCTTGGCTGTTTTGGGCGCCTGTTTCGAGCAGGTGGGGTCCCTCCCCCATGTGACGCACTGCTGCGAATAGTCGCACTAACCAGAGGTCCGGAGCCAGATCCCCCCCCCCCTTCCACCCCCCTTCCGCCCAATGTCGAAACGCCAAAAAAAACTCGCTCACCAGATGAGTTGGTGTCTCGTTCTCGACCAAAAGAGCAAAGGGTCGGTTTTCCAGGGCTTCCAGCATGTCCGAGCGCTCCACACGGGTTTTAACAGAAAAGGCCGGTAGGGGCGCTGGAAATCCTGGAAACTACCTTTGGCCAGGATTGTCATGACACTACTCTCGTCTTGAAGTCGGCGGAAGGCTGGCGGAAGCCGGCGGAAGCATATCGTCGCCGATTCCGTTGGCGGAAGTAAGAGATGCGCCGCTGAGAGATTTCAGTGTTCTGGGGTTCAGGACTGCCGGAACCCGCCAAGTAGACGCCAACGTTGATCCGCAGCCACCTTGGCTCATGCGACCGCAGTCTTCCACGTGTGTGCACCTCTGAGCACTTCCACTTCCTTTCTGGTAGGTTGCCCGCCATGGCGCGCCGTGCGGCTCTCTTGGCGGTGTTGCCCTCGCTCTGCTCTGCCTTCTCGTACGTCCACGCGGCGTCCACACACGATGCCGACTTCCTAGACGCGGTCGCTGAGGATGAGCTCATGCCTGAGGTCATGCAGGGACTGCAGGGGGACAGCTGCCAGACGGCGGAGCAGGGGACCCCGTGCTGGAGAGACGTGACTTGGCTCCAGACTACGGGCTTCAAGAAGCACCCTGAGTGGTACCCTGGCTACTCCAGCAAGTCGAGCTTCGAGGATGTGCAGCTTCTGCTCTACCGCAACGGCAAAGTGCACTGCCCCAAGCCATGTCTCGCCAATGTGCTCGGAGCGGACCACGAGGCCGAGCCCAATCCATCAAGTGCAACAACGAAATGAATTTGGCGCGCCCCAAATTCGATGTTCAAGTTCATGTTACAGGTGAATGCTTTGCAACGCAATGGGGTGCAACGCAATGCGCAATATACTACAGCATCTCATCACATGTCACGCATAGCACAGCATAGCAGATCCTTTTCGCGAAACACCGAACATGTCAGTGCAGCTCAGCATGGCTCCGCATGTCATAGGGTATCATGGCATGGTTATTTTGACGAGCATGTCGTGACATAGTGCTGCATGGTATACCAACAGTGTAGAGTGGCATTGCCATGACAACATTGCACAGCATAAGAAGTTCGTGCATGCTTGGTCGTGGCATGACATGGCGTTGATGCTCGAGCATGGCCAGACATACCATAAGATATCACACCATGCCTTCACAGTGCATAGCATGCCATTGCGGCGCATATCTTAGAGCTGCACGTCAAACCATGCAGCATTTGGATACGGCATCGTGTAGCGTTGAGTGGCACAGCATTGCCCTGCCCAGTGCGCACAACTGTATATCATAGCCTCACGTAGTTCATAATGTGTTTGCGTTGTGTAGCATAAGGTGGTATAGCATTCAATGACAGAACGTGAAATTGAAAGCCACGGCGCTGCATAGTGACATTGCTTATCAAACCGATGCGTATCGTTGCATGGATTCGCATAGCGCTGCCCAGCAATGCAAGACACATAGAGGCAATCCACTTCAGTACATCATATAACATAGAACATTGCAGAGCGTGCAGTGCTCTGTTTCTCCAAGGTAGTGTTAATTTTTCTCCAGGGCAGTGTTCTGTTTTTCCAAATAGGTTTGCCCTATAGGAGTTCTGACTCAAACCTTACTAATTGGTCCGCTGCCCTCCCCCACCTAATTTCTATGCCCCCCTAATTCCTATGGCTATGCCTTTGCCTATGCCCATGCATCCCCTCTAACTCCTATGCCTACGCCTATGTGTATGCCCATGCCTAGGCCTATGCACCACCTCTGAGCGCTCCGATGCCTATGCCTACGCCTACGGCCATGTTTCCTATGCTTGCTTGCTTGCTTGCTTGCTTGCGTGTTTGCTTGCTTGCTTGTTTGCGTGCCTGCTTGCGCGCTTGCACGCTTGCTTGCTTGCTTGCGCGCTTGCTTGCACGCTTGCTTGCTTGCTGAGTTGCGGATTCCAAGCATGCTTGATTCCTCTGATTCTGTGACTCGAGTCGTCGAATCTATTTGGAGTCAACGCTGGCTGACATTTGCATACCGAAGAAGGGCCTTTCAGGCAAGCCTGTTCGGGGGAAGACTTATTGAAACACCTAGGCCAAGCCCGAGCACGTGCTGCTGAGCTCCAGCTGCATGGACGCGGTCGAGGGGGACTTGTGCTTCCGCACCGTCAGGTGGCTGAAGAGGACGGGCCTCGAGCAGCACCCCGACTGGTTTCCCGCCCTGGAGGCCAGCGACAGCACGGTCACCATCCAGGCGGAGCTGCACCGCCAGGGCAAGTCCCAGTGCCGCAGGCCCTGCGCGCGCTCGAGCCCCGCGGGGGACGACGACGTGACGACGACCGGCGAGAGCCCGCCGTATCAGGCCCTGGGCGCCCAGAAGGCCGGGCTCCGGGTGCGCGTCGGGTCGGGGGATGCGGCCAGCTGGGTGTGGGACTTCCCCAAGGAGGAGGTGGTCCCGACCACGGCAGCGGGCAAGGCTCCCCGCCGGGGACTCCTCCGCACCACTGCTGTGGGGACGTGCCCCCCCGAGGACCTCGACCAAGTACACGTGAGAGTAACCCTTCGCCAGCTTGACCTTCGGTGCGGGCCCACTGGGGTCTTCAGACCGCCGAATGCGATGCGATAGCAGCGTCTTGCGCGCTTAGGTTAGGCCTCGACAGCCGCGCACCGCAGGTCACTCTTGCCTAGGGTCACTCTTGCGTGTAGCCAGGGATCTCGCGGAGTTGTGAATGCAGGGTGTGGGTCTGGGGCGGGGGGGTCTCCATGTCCAACGCCCCGCGACATCCTCGGGGGGGCGCGTCTCCAAAGCAGCGGCTGTGGATTTTTCCTCCGTGCGGCGAGACGTTGATGCAGTGCCTCCGGAAGCTGCTGCACGTGACCCCAGAGAACTTCAACGATATGCGGGCGTTGTGCGAGGCCTAGGGGCAACGATTGGGGGGGGCATAGACACAGGGGGGGATGCATCGACCCCCAACCGCTCATTGATCGCCGATGTGGGCCCGATAACCTCAACCTGCCCGGAAATGTGCGGATTCACTATTGAAGGCCTATCGCCGATCTATCGGCGATGTATCGCTGATTCAAAATCAATGTTTCCCCAGCTGTGCCAGTCCCCCCTTTCTCGTTGCCCCTGAGAGGCCCTCGTGCCGCTGGATGGCGAAGTTCAGCACCACGCGCTGGTCAAGGAGTCCATGAAGTTTATCACGTGGGCCCAGCACCACGTGGACGAGCTCAGGGCTAAGCGGAGGGAGCAGGACGAGCAGCTTGAGATCAGCGACCCAGCCGCTCGGCCCGAGCTGCGTGAGGGTGACTGCTTGACTGCGCAGCCCAACACGGTGTGCTACACTGCGGTGTCCTACGGCCTTTCGGAGGGGATCAGGAAGCATCCACTTGTGTACGAGGGCCTGTCAGAGCATGCCAGCTTCGAGAAGGTCCAGGAGTTCCTGTGGCTGAACAAGCGGCATGGCTGTACGAAGCCTTGCCCCCGGAAGCGTGCCAGGGACATCACCGAGTTCTACAAGCACCCTGAGGCCCTCCGCTACAAGAAGAGGGCTGCGGACATGAGCATCGACGAGATGAGCAGGTACATCAGTGGCGAATGGGACGGCTACGTGTCGAGGATGTTCGACGCTGACGCTGATGACCTCGGGACTCTCAACCAGCACGCTCCTGCCTCAACAGCCAAGCCTGCAGTTGGCGCGGCGAGCCGGGAGGACCGGGCCATTGCCGAACCCGTCGACCAGGCGGTCCAGACCAAGATTGCCGAGGTGGCGGCCAACGACACCGGCGAGGGGATGGCCGAAGACCCCGAGCCCGAGAAGTCGGCCAGCGACGAGGATGTGGCAAATGCCTCCACGGAGAATGGCTTCACGCCGATCTTTTCGGACGTCGTGTCGATCAACATGTCTGATGTGTCGGAGGGTGTGGCCAACGTCACGCCGATCTTTTCGGACGTCGTGTCGATCAATATGTCGGATGTGTCGGAGGGTGTGGCCAACGTCAGCGAGCGGGAAGCCAGTGTCAGCGAGCCGGATAGTGACCCCATCAGCCAGCGGGAGAAGGATCTCGCTGAGCGGGAGAAGGCGATCGCTGAGAGGGAGAAGGCGATCGCTGACCTGGAAAAGACGCTCTCTGCGCTTGGTTCCGAAAAGGCGCTCGCTACGCTAGATGCCGTGGCCGTTGCCCCCAAAGAGCCAGTGGCTGATACCCCCACGAAGGCGGTGGCCGATGCCCCTACGGAGGAGGATTCCACCGCTGCGCAGCCAATCTCGACTGTCGCCGTGGCTAATGCCCCCCTGGAGCCGGTGGCCGATGCCCCTACGCAGGCGGATGCCACGGCTGCAGAGCCCACCTCGAACGACGCCGTGGCTAATGCCCCCCTGGAGCCGGTGGCCGATGCCCCTACACAGGCGGATGCCACGGCTGCAGAGCCCACCTCGAACGACGCCGGGGCTAATGCCCTCCCAGAGCCAGTGGCCGAAACCCCCACGCAGGCGGATTCCACGGCGGCAGAGCCCACCTCGAACGACGCCGTGGCTGATGCCCTCCCAGAGCCAGTGGCCGATACCCCCACGCAGGCGGATTCCACGGCGGCAGAGCCCACCTCGAACGACGCCGTGGCTAATGCCCTTCCAGAGCCGGTGGCCGATGCCCCTACGCAGGCGGATTCCACGGCTGCAGAGCCAACCTCGAACGACGCCGTGGCCAGTGTCCCCCCAGAGCCGGTGGCCGATACCCCCACGCAGGCGGATTCCACGGCGGCAGAGCCCACCTCGAACGACGCCGTGGCTAATGCCCTCCCAGAGCCAGTGGCCGATACCCCTACACAGGCGGATTCCACGGCGGCAGAGCCCACCTCGAACGACGCCGTGGCTAATGCCCTTCCAGAGCCGGTGGCCGATGCCCCTACGCAGGCGGATTCCACGGCTGCAGAGCCAACCTCGAACGACGCCGTGACTGATGCCCTTCCAGAGCCGGTGGCCGATGCCCCTACGGAGATGGATTCCACCGCTGTGCAGCCAATCTCGAACGACGCCGTGGCCAGTGCCCCCCCGGAGCCGGTGGTCGATACCCCCACGCAGGCGGATTCCACGGCGGCAGAGCCCACTTCGAACGACGCCGTGGCCAATGCTCTTCCAGAGCCGGTGGTCGATGCCCCCGCGGAGCCGGTGGCGGATGCACCCTCGCAGATGGATGCCGTCTTTGTAGATCCGTTGCCTCTTGTGCCGACGCCAGAGAAGACGCCTGCCGCCCCGCAGCAAGAAGGCCAGGCGGATCCCACCGCTGGCGAGCCGCAGCCAGAACCTCGGGCGCAGCCAACCGACACGGATACCGTGGAGGAGGAGATGAAGAAGATGTTCCAGAACGAGGTCACGGAGCAGAAGAAGGGTGAGACCGAGTCGGAGATGGAAGAGCAGTTCGAGAAGAGTTTCTTGGCCCCAACGGCGCAGCATGACGAGACGACGGCCCAGGCAATGGAGAACATGGAGCAATGATCAGGAAAGATATTCTGAATAGGAAAATTGAGGATACCTTGCGGTAGACCACGGTGATCGCCCGAGATCGGAATTACGAGAAGGCAAGGCGGGAGATGATCAAGGCAAACGTTATTTACACTTCCATCATGCCGAATCGATTGTGAGAAGCCCGCGGCGAGTCTTGGCCTGGCTCTGTCGTTCTCCTTCTCCCCATTTCCTGTCATCTCCCACCCACCCCCCCTCGATCCTCCCCCTCCCTTAAGTTTAGCTGAGCAGTTTCGGAGCGCTTGCGCATAGAGCCCACTCGTCGCAACTGATTCCTGCTCAAGGCCCACGGCTGCACGGCCCGTGTGTGATAGAAAGGAGGGCCTGCTGGGCGAACGACCCAACCCTTTTGTAACTGCGAGCTGCACAGGGGCAGGCCCTCCCCTCAAACATAAGAATAGACTGTGCGCCGCGGCAGGGAGGGAGTTGGAGCCCTCCCCGTGGGTCTGGACGCCCGAGATGGGCACGGAAAGAATGGGTACGATGCCCAACAGCAGTTCTTGTTCATTCTGAACAGGATTCGTTGTCCACGCCGCCGCGGCCTGTGTCCATTCGAGACAGAAGGCCGCCTGCCCAACAGCGGCCGCTGTTGGTTTGGGACAACATTTGTTGTGGGGCATTGTACCCATTCTTTCGGTACCCATTTCGGGAGTCCAAAGTGGGGCACGATCCGTGTGAGTGGCGCCTTTGAGTGGGCGAGGGAGGCGGGTGCGAACACTCCCGCCGGAGCCGAGGGCGGAGCTCTCCCCTGTGGGGCATACGGGGAGGTGTGCCGAAGGGGGCCTGGCCGCTCTCACGCGCACCCGCCCGCCGGGGCCGCAGCTCATCCTCCTCCTCCTCCTCCTCCTCCTCCTCCTCCTCCTCCTCCTCCTCCTCCTCCTCCTCCTCCCCCTCCTCCTTCTCCTCCTCCTCCTCCTCCTCCTCCTCCTCCTCCTCCTCCTCCCCCTCCTCCTCCTCCTCCTCCTCCTCCTCCTCCTCCTCCTCCTCCTCCTCCGGTCGTCGACCGTCGAGGCGGAGAGCAGGTTGCGCTCCAGGCCGCGCTGGCACCGCAGGGGCGCCGGCGAGGCGGGCACGATGCCCCCGCGCCCGCCGGGGCCGCAGGCGGATCTCCGTGCGGGTCACGATCCAGCAGCTACCAGCAGTTTCCAGCGGCAGCAGAGCGGCAGCAGAGCGGCGGCAGCAGCGGCAGGAGTGGATAAGCAAGAGGAGGGCAAGCGTCGCAGCGGAGAGGCAGCCATCACCCAACAGCACAGCAGGGTTGTTGTACCCGTCGCCGCGCCGTTTGTTCCGACGTGCGGCCTTCGTCTTTGAGAGGGCGTCTCGGCCACCAGGGCAAACTCCACCTCGGACGCACGAGTTGCCGTTGGTTTGCCGCGGTGCCACTTTTTTCTTCTTGGCGCGTTGGAAACAAGCGGCGCCGCCACAACCTCATGGGAAGAATTACAGCATGCAGGTTGAGTGGGAAGACTGGCAAGGGTTTGCTATGGTTGGGCGGATGGTTGGTTGGGGTTGGCCAGAGGGTTGGCCAGGGTAGGTTGTCGACACGCGCTTCTCTCCCAGGATATGGTGGGGAAATGGGTTTCTGGATCCTGCCAGGTCGAGGCGCGGTTGTGGAGGCCTGTGGGGACCATCAGGCGCCTGCTCGACGCGAAGCCGCGTGGGCCGTGTGTCTATCCCGCCGTCTCCTTCCCGTCCTCCTTCGCCCTCATCCGCGTCCTGGTCGACGTCCTCTTCCTCGTGTTGTTCCCTTCTCTCCACATCCTCCTCTTCATCATCCTCCACTTTTTCCTTCTACTCTTCTTCCTCCTCGTCCTCCTCCTCCTCCTCCTCCTCCTCCTCCTCCTCGGTTGCATCCACATCGTCGTCACCATATTCATATTTCCCTACCATACAGGTTCGATGCGAATTGGAGGGACAGCCTGATCTAGCATGTCTTCGTCCCGTCCAGCTTTGAGCGACATCCTGGTGAGCAAACTTTCCGCTTCTCGGCGCACCGAGGGTTTTTCCACAGATCTCCAGCGAGGTTTGTTCCGTGTCTGATGGGGCGGTGGCGAAGCCACTCTGGTCCTCGTGCTTTATGTTGGTCGTGTCCGGGTTGCGGGCCCAACACATACCGGGCATCAAGAGTGGCATGCGCGTGCGGACGCAGGGCACCTCCGCACCTTGTCAAGGCCACACACTCCTCGCCATCGTCAAGGCCACACACATCGTCATCGTGAAGGCACATCTCACGGCCAAACATTCCTCGTCCCGCTCAGAATCTCGGCAGCACTCTCCTTCCCTTAGTGTTTGGAGTGATGGTGGCCCCTGTCCTGGTGACCCTGTGCAGCAGAATCTTGACCGTCTTCACTGGGAGTACGACAAACTCGTCCCGCAATTGTTTCCAGTGACTGAGAAGGTGCTCCTCTTCCGGCCGGCAGCGAGCAAGACCCGAAGGAGGACACCACCAGCGAGTCGATCAAGATCGAGCGGCCTGCAATTCAATTCAATTCAAGGGGCTATTGAAGCCAAACAGGTAGTGGAGACACAACAAAGATATACTTGGAAACAGGTGTTGTGTTTCTATTTTGTTCCCAGAGTGCATGCTAATACTGCACATCGTTCGGCCCCGTCAGAATGTTATCCAGCAGCATGAAGTATTCGTTGGGCTCAAAGAAGATCCAGCGATCATACCCTTCAGATCATGGTCACCACGGAGGTCTAGCAGTTGCGCGAGGATTTCGTGGACACATACCCTGAACATGTTGCCGTTCCCCAGGCGTGGATCAACAATTTGGCAGAACTGAGGGAAGGCGATGGCCAATCCACTCGCGCCGTCTGGTTCGCAAGCGATGGTTGTACGAAACACCAGCAGACTCCTGAGCGGCAGCGGGGCGAACAAAAAGGGCCAAGACCGACAGAGAGAGAGAGAGAGAGAGCGGCCAGGCCACCTTTTGCACCTGCTGGCAACGGTGGTGCTCACGTGAGCCTCGGTTGATGGGCCTGTTTTGCACCACCACCACCACCTTAAGTTGGAGGGGGAGGGGGCCCTCCTCCTCCTCTACCTCCTCCTCCTCCTCGTCGTCCTCCTCCTCTTTCGGCGTCGCCCCAGCATGCGCATACCATACGTGCGTCGCCCTCCCCCCTCCCCAGGGGCGACGCGCGCACCGAGGAATCTGACAGCACACGCGTGGTGGCGGGCGCTTGCTGGCCACGCCGCTCGGGAAACGATATGCTTCAAGCTGGGTGTACGGTATAACATATATATATACATATAAATACATGCATACATACATACATACATACATACATACATACATACATACATACATACATACATACATACATACGTACATACATACATACATACAGACAGACAGACATACAGACATACATACATACATACATACATACATACATGCATACATACATACATACATGCATGCATACATACATACATACATACATACATACATACATACACACACATACATACATACATACATACATACATACATACATACATACATACATACATACACACATACATACATACATACATACATACGTACATACATACATACATACAAACATACAAACAAACAAACATACATGCATACATACATACATACATACATACATACATACACACATACATACATACACATGTTCGGGTCGGACGCGCGCCTCCAATGAGGCCATATCGCATTTGCATGCCCCTGTGCGTCCCATCAGTTCCTCTCTTCTGCAGCCGCCCCCCCCCCCACCGGGCAAAAATGGCGCCGCCGGGCCCCCGCCGCCGGCCTCCCGGCCGCGACCCCGACCGCGCGCGGGCCGGCTCGGCAGCGGAGAAGATCCTCGAGGCCGAGAGCGGGAGAAGCATCCCGCGGCACGCGAGGATGGGGCGGGCTCGACGCGCGCCGCCTGCCCCCGTGTCCATCGGAGAAGCCTCGAGGACGAGAGCGGGGAAAATCCCGCGGCGCACGCCGAGGGGCGGGGTCGCCGCGCCGCCTGCCCTCGCCCCCCTTGCCCAGGAGAGCGGCTCCGCCGAGGATCGTCTGGGGTGTAGGTGGCGCGCTGGCCTCTCAGGTCGCATCGGACATGCCGGCTCCCCCTCTCCGGCCCAGGTCAACGGGGGGGGCGTTCCTGGCAGGGCGCGGCGGTTTTCTTCAGGAGCCGCAGAGGGCTTCGGCGCCCCGAGGGTGGCTCTGGCGTGCTGGCCGCCGCTTGTTTGATCCCGTTTCGCGTCGACGCCCCTGGGCGGCCCGCTCGCGAATGCGCGCGCCAGTCTGAGGTCAGGGACGGGATTTCCCGATTTCAACCCGTCATACTTGCGCGCGATTGTGGCCGGGCGCTCGAGGAAGGGAACCTCTGCTCCTGCGGGGGCGATTGGACCCTGCCCCCCTTCCCTGGCCGGTCACGCCTGCATGCCGCGTCGTCCAGGTTCTGTTCTGCTCGCCCCCTCGGAGAAGAGCGCCAGTTCGCACGCCCTCGCCGCGTCGTTGATCGCTCACTGCGTGACCTTCAGTGAGTGGCCGCCCTCGCCGCCCCCCGACCCCAGGGTTGGACCCTGGTTCGGGCAGCGCCATCAAGGCGGGTTGCACGGCGAGTTGAAGGAGCGTCTTCTCCCCCCAAACTAGTGGGAGCGACGAAACCGCGAACGCAGGGGGTCCTGGTGGGCCCATCGCGCGGCTGAGACGGTGGGGATTGCTACTCATTCCGTTCGCGCGACGGCTGGGTCTCAGCCCAAGGTCGCCTCGCGCGACCAGCTCGCACAGAGCGCCCAGCAGCGAGCCCAGCGACATGCGCTTCCTCCGCGCCCAGGCCAAAGCCCCAAATCCCGCCTTGACGCTACCGTTTCTCAAGAACCAGAACTGCATCGCCGATGTCCTTCGACCGCGCTCGAGGGTCGGGCGCAAAGCCCGCGCGGGCCCCCCAGGGCCTGGATGCAGGACCGCGGCCAGGCTCAGAAGGACTTTTGGAGGATAAGCTGATCTCGCGGGCTGAAGGCAGCAGCAGGGGGCGATGGGGCGGGGGCTCTGGCCGCGCAAAGCAGGGCCGAGCTGGAACTCGAGAGGGGTCTCCAGCGGCCATCCAGGCCCACCCCGCGGTCGACTGGCCCCCCAGGACATGCTGCGCACCGAGGGCGGGGCCCCCTTACTGAAATGGCGCGCTGGCACCGTCTCCCTTTGGCCGCTGCCAGCGGCCCGCCGCGCCAGCGCCGTCGCCAGCGTCTGCTTCAACGCTGCCCCCTCAGTCCCTGGGCGGGCTGCGCGCCGAGCAATCCCCCCCCCCCGCCCCCTCTGTCGGACCAATCCATGGGGGCGCTCAGGGCTCTGATGCCATCCATCGGAAGCTTCTGGGAGCCACCCCTTTTGAACGTCGCCCCCTCTGCCCGGCGAGCCCGAAGAAAGCCGGATTGCGACGGCGGGCGCCGGATTGACGGGGGACCCGACAGCGCGCGGCATCGCGTTTGGCCCTGCCGCCGTCGAGAAGCCGCCCAGGCTCACCTGGACGCCGCGGCTGGTCGCCCAGAGTGGCTCGACCAAGCTCCTGAGAGCCAGGGCCGATGTTTTCATTGTGCTCAAAGTGGTGAATCTTGAGGGCGCCCGCCTCCGTCCCAACCCTGACTCCGACCTCGCAGTTTACAACCCCAGCCGGAACCGGGTGGAATTGGGTTTCATAGTTTCGAAGGGGGCTCGACGTCTGCACTCGCGGCGCGCGCGCTCGACGACCCACCCGTGAGCTCCGAGCGTTTCATGCTCGCGACCTCCAAGACGCAGGGAGGAATTTTGTCGCCGCCGCCACAGGGACCGCGCGCGCAGACTGCGTGGCCGGCGGATCATCGGGCCCAGATTGTTTCGCCCAACGTAACAAAGCTCGGAGGACACCGCCGTCGTTCAATTGTGCCAGACCCCATCGCGCCCCTCTCATGAGTCTCCCATTAGTTTAGCAAGGCTCTTCCAGCGCCCCCAACACGTTCAGCCGACCACCGACATCATCAATGATATGAATGCGTCAGTTGTTGTGGATCGCGTCATGACTAAAGCGTTGCGCGTTCTACCTTTCCGAGAAGCTTCACTGGTAAACCATCAACCCCTGGTTCAATCGCTAGAAGTGTGGGGGGTGGCAACACTTGCCAGATGTCCCAGGTGTCTCATGGTTTGGGGCGAGCATACCCCCCCAAAAAATTGAATGTCAAGGCCCCGCCGACAAACCCTGTGGAGGTGTTCTGGATTTCAGCAAGGGTCACCCTTTAATTAGGAAATAATGGCTTTGCGTCTGGACCAGGAACCCCGCATGAGTAGCCGCACGACCCGCGGCGCATACACCGCCAGCCTCAGGACAGAAGTCAGGGCCGCAGGCTGCTAGGGACCACAACCCTTCGGCGAACCTGTAACTGGCGCGCCCTCATCACGAAGACGCACGCGGCACCCCCGTCTCGACGGTTCCTCGTAGCGGAGCAGGCTCTTCATGCCATGTTGCGACGACACCCCTCTTTTTCCTCCTCCTGAAGTGGCCACCGGTGATTGGTGCACCCCCATCACACAAACGCGGCGCCCCCGTCTCGACGACTCCTCGTAGCGGAGCAGGCTCTTCATGCCATGTTGCGACGACCCCCTTCTTTTTCCTCCTCCCGAAGCGGCCATGCCAGCTCAGCGGTAGGAGGCGTTGGCCCAGACGCCTGGGTCGCTTGCAGTTGCACCCCGCGCCTATTTGCGCGCGCTCGAGGTGGCCCGCCGCACGGCCTCGTTCAGTTCGGGGGCTGGACGTGGCCCGTCGCCCCCGTGGTCCTGCCCACCAGCTCGCAGATGACAAACTCATCATCATCTTCCCTCCTCCCCTGCCTTTTCTGCCAGCACGGTTTTTTGATTCCCCCTCTTATGTGCCCTGTCTCTTCTATTGGATTCGCCTTCTTTCCCTCATGATCATTCGTGTTCGTTGTTCTTCGCTGGCTTCCATTCCCAACAGTATCAAATGGATTCGGCGTTCGATCTGTCATGCCATTAGTAATGCTGTCGCTTGTTGTTCTTCGTAACCTCCTCCAGTTGATTATCATCACCTCCCTCGTCTTCCTCCTGGACTTCCCTTTCTTCTTCCTCCCCCCTCCTCCTCCCCATCAGTGTCCTCCTCTTCGCCCTCCTTCGCCCCTCCGGTGGGGGCGTGCAGGGCGGGGGCCAGGGGCTGGCGAACTATTGGAGCCACCCCCGCTCGCCTCGTCCCCGCGCGAGGGAAACGTGCAGAGGGGAGCCGCCCCCTTCTCGGGAGCCCCCGGTCGCCATCTGGCACGGCCGCCCCCCGTCCGCAGCCCCTGTGGTCCCGCTGGTCCCCCGCGGCCGCCGGAGTGCGCCTCCGGGGGATCCAGCGACGCCCCCCTGCCGAAGGCGCCCAGGAACTCAGGCCCCGAGGTCGTGATTTTTCCATGGCGTGGGTCCAGACCCAGACATGATGGCGTCGTTTAAAAGTCATAGCGAGAGGTTTTTGGCCGTTTTCGACCTCAGGGGGCCCACGCTGGGCCTCGGGACCGTCAAACAACGACTCAGGATGAAAACAGGGTCCTGGGGAAAGGCTCGGGACTTCCAGGGAACCCGCATTGAAAAAGTCAGGACGTCTCATGTCTGAGGAGCGATCTGGGCCCATCCCCTGGATGTGTGACGGACTCGAGGACTGGTATGGGCCCCCAGAGGCCGAGAATGAATGAAGCATGTGCCGTCACACTCTTGTCCCAGTCATCATGTGGTGTTGGTTTCTCGTTCTGAAGAGAGAGAGAGAGAGAGAGAGCACCCCGCGGTCCGTACTCCCTTCTCCTCCCCGTCCCCTCCTTCCCCTCGTTGCTTCTGCTCACCGCATCTGTCTACCAGTTCGGTGCACCCCGCACACGCTCGTGGCTCCATAGGGAGCTCGTCCGAAAGCCCCAGTGGCAGGGTTCGCAGGCGTCCCCCCCGCACCATTCCGGCACACTCGTACGTTTCATGGCCCCATGCCGACCTCCACCGAAGGCCCACGTGGCAGGGCTCGCATGCGCCATCCCGCACCATTCCGGCACACCCCTCGCACGTCTCGTGGCCTTACATGATCGCGGGCTCCGGGCCCACGGGCCCCTCCCCCCCCCGGATGGGATGGGTCCCAGGGTCCTCGGGCCCCCCCCACCCCCGAGGGGGAGGGAGGAGGAGGAGGAGGAGGAGGACGAGGAGGAGGAGGAGGAGGAGGACGAGGAGGAGGAGAAGGAGGAGGAGGAGAACGACGACGACGACGACGACGACGACGACGACGACGACGACGACGACGACGACGACGACGACGACGACGACACCGACAACGACGACGACGACGACAACGACGAGGACGACGACGACGACGACGGCACCACCAGCGGCGGCGGCGACGACGTCGAGCACCGGAGTTGTCAACATGACGCCAATCCCAGCCACACGCTGCACCCACACCACACCCATAGGGGGGGAGGGAGGGGGGGAGGAGGACCATGGCGTCACCCCGCACACACCCACAGCAACACACCACACCCACACCACATCCAAAGGTGGGGGGGGGAGCCACCCACCACGCCACGCCCACGCCCACAGCGGGGGGGGGAGGGCCATCGCGCGGGGGGGGGGGGGGCCGATGACATTAGCATTGGGGGGGGGGGGCCCAAGCCCTCGACCATATAGAGGGAGCTCCTCCGTGGGCCCGTCCCAGTGGCAGGGCTCGCATGCGTCCCCGCACCAGTGTGCCCTCACGCGTCGCCATGGGGGAAACGGGCCCTGAGGGACGCGGGTCCCGAGGTGTTCTGCCGTTGTCGAGTTCCCGGGGCCCTGCACGGGCCCAGGGGGACTGTCAGCAAACGACTCGGGATGGAGCTTTTGCTCTGGAGAAGAGCCTTGGGGTCAAGGAGCAGTCTGCTTCAGGACCCGTCCTCCTCCTCCTCCTCCTCCTCCTCCTCCTCCTCCTCCTCCTCCTCCTCGTCCTATCTCCCTCCACCGAAGGCCTCAGAGGCAGGGTTCGCATGTGTCCGCCCCGCCCATCGCGGCACACCCCTCCCGCGCTTCCTGGCCCCACAGGGAGCTCCACGTAATACATTCGCATGCGGCCGCCCGCCCCGTTTCGGCACGCCCCTCACACGCTTCATGGCACCATGGGGAGGTTCACCGAATGCCTCCGTGGCAGGGTTTGCATGCGCGACCCCCGCAGAATTTCGGCACACCGCTCACGCGCTTCCGTGGCTGCATAGGGAGCTCCTCCGCAGGCCCGCTGCGGTCGCATGGCACCACCGCGTCCCTTGCGGCACGCCCCTTTCGCGCGTCGTGGCCCCAGAGGGAGTTCCATCCAGGGACAAAAAACCACCGCGACCCGATAATTGGCGTTTACCAGTGGCCTTGGGCGTTTACTCAAACAGCCCTGCCCTGTTGGAATCTCGCTGTGGGTGCGTTGACTAGACGGCTTCGCGTGTGCGGGTGATTATGACGGGGGGGGATTTTCTGCCCTCTACTCCACCGACCACGATACCCTCCACCGAAAAAACGCTGCTGTCTTCACAACTGCGTATGACTGGTCCAAGAAATCGCGCGGGGGAGGGGGTCCGGCGCAGATCCAAGAACTCCGCGCGGAACGCCAAAAGTTTGTGCTTATGACGCTTTTTCTTCTTCCATCACAGAGCGCGTCCCGCTACTCGCAGAGTGCCTACCCGCAAACGGCCCCCCAAACATGTCTTTCTATCGGTAAGGGGGTCCTGAGCCCCCCGCGGCGGCTCCAGGCCATTTGCAAGTAGTCACCTTCCGAGCAGTGGAACGCGCTCGTCCATTCTGTCCTCCTCCTCCTCCTACTCCTCCTCCTCCTCCTCCTCCTCCTCCTCCTCCTCCTCCTCCTCTGTCAGGCACCAGCTCGGCGCGAAGCTCTGCGGCACCTTCGTGCCGCTCGCCTCGCCGCACCTGGTGGCCGCCGCGGACGCGCACCGGCGCGACCGCCTGCCGCGGGACCGGTCGTCGCTCCGCGCGGAGTCCGCGGTTGGCGGGTCTGGACGCCCGAAATGGGCACGGAAAGAATGGGTACAATGCCCAACAGCAGTTCCTGTTCACTCTGAACAGGATTCGCTGTCCACGCCGCCGCGGCCTGTGTCCATTCGAGACAGAAGGCCGCCTGCCCAACAGCGGCCGCTGTTGGTTTGGGGCAACATTTGTTGTTGGGCATTGTACCCATTCTTTCCGTACCCATTTCGGGCGTCCAAAGCGGGGGGGGGACCCCCAACAACGAGTAAGTTCAAGTCGGGCCTGTCCCTCTACAGGAGGAACGTTCATCAATAGTCAAGAGTAGCCTGGGGATGCTTGCTTGAGTCTTTCTGTACCATGTTTGAATATTTTCTTCGCTACTTTCATTTGTTCCCAAAATCGGCCTGTAGGGGGACGGGCCCGACCTGAGATGAAGTCGGGCACGTCCCTCCACAGGAGGGTCATGCAAAAGTCACCATCGAAAACACATGGTCCAGGACCGATTATGTTTGGTGGCTCTGTTCGAGCATGTTCTGGTGATTTGTTATGCTTTGTATAACATCCGCCCGTAGGAGGACATGCCCGACCTAGATCGACGTCGACGGCCACGGCCGCGGCGACGACGGCTGCGACGGCGGCCTTGGGGCTTTTTGGGGCGGCGGCCGCGCGACGGACGCAGCGATGGAGCGACGGAGGGACGCTCCAGAAGCGAGCGGGGGCACCGAACTTGAGTCGGGCCTGTCCCTCCACAGGAGGAATATTCAGAGATAGTCTAGAACATTGTCTGGAGACGACTTCTGTATTGGAGTATCTGCAGTTTTTTTGGGGGGGAAGAGGAAGGGGTGCGCGGGGGTGACGGAGGCCAAAGGTCTCCGACGTCCGACGTCGTGATTTTTTCAACGTGGCTCCCACAGGTCCTGGCCCCCGCCCAAGGACGGCCCCCTCATTCTCGGAGGAAGGAGAAGCGATCCCACCACCATCAGGGGGCCCACCTCCAGCGAGGAGGTCCACGATGCCTCCCCGAGCTGGAGGCTGGGGATGTCTCGAGCGAGATGGGGGGGGACCACACCACCAGGGAGGCCCCCATTGCCTCCTCGAATCTCCCCGCCCTGGTGGTGTTGGTGTCGCCTTTCCTTGCTCCTGTCATCCAGAGCGGTTTGTTGGCATCTCGGGGGCATAATGGAGGCCCTCAGGCGGCCGTGTCTTTTCACGACCTGGTGATGTCAGGGATCGGCGACGGCGAGGAAGGGGGAGGGCGTGGAGGACAGCGGCAGCAGGAGCAGCATCGGGAGGAACGTGAGGAGCGAGCAGGAGGACCAGGGAGCGGAGGAGGAGAAAGACACGGGAAGACAACGGGGAGGAATCGTGGCCCTGGGTGCGTGGCAATTCGTGGGTTCCTAACGCCCCAGGGCGGGACAAGCGTGACAACGCGTGGGTTCCGAACGAGCTCGGTGCAGGACAAGCGTGAACAACTTGGGTTCCTACCGCCCCAGGGCGAGACGAGCGTGACAGCACTTAGAAGCGGGGATACAACGATGAGGAATGACTGGGATCCGGCAGTGTGGCCCGCTGGTGAGCCGAGCGCACCATTCTGAATGACGGGAGCATGGCGCCGATCCCAAAATGCGGCTCACGTTGGAGTGCGGGCACCCTTCTGGAACGCTGAGAAACGCTCCGATTCCAAAGAAGGTTAGCCAGCGTGGTCCCCAAACAATGGGTTTCTAGCAAGATGCGTCGTGCAACCTAGGTGTGGCATCGTACGTGGTGCAACCTGCGTGGCTTAATATACGTTATGCAGGATCTGTTTCGCAACCGATGTTATGCAATATCTGCTGCGCGCCCTTTGTAGAGCAATCTGTGTGGGCCAGTCCACGCGGTGCAACAAACATAGGTTGTGAAACTGATGTGGTGCAACCCATGTGGCGCACTGAATGTGTGCAACATACGCGGTGGAGTTTGCCCTGCCGAACTTGAAGTTGTCAACTCCATTGCTGGCGCAGGCACCCCGCAAACCCACCCGCCACTTGGTTGGCAAAAACTACGCGGTGGCGGTTGCGACGTGTGCTTAGCACTGGTTGGCGCACCGCTGCCTCCGCGCTAGCGTGCGCAGGCTAGCGCGCAGAGCGGCCAGCCAGTGTGGTACGACCGACGCGGCTGCGGTGGCGCTGACCGCTGCGGGGTTCTCTCAAGGCGCGCTGGCGCGCTGGCACTGCAGTGCGATTCGGTGACTCTGGCGGGCGCGGGGGCCAATGCGACGTCGACAGCGGCAGACACGATGAAGATACTATCGTTGCAGGTGGTGGTGATGACAATGACGATGGACAGGCCAATATCGGCGCCGATACTTGTCACGCCGACGACGACGGTGGTGGTGTCAATGTGTCGGCGGTGAAAGCTTTGATCGGAGTTCGACATGCGCGCGCGCGGCCGACGGGCGCGAGTGGCCCGCATTGTGTTATGTGTCAAGGACCGCGCCCCCCCCCCACCCCCCACCCAAGCACGCGGGCAGCGCGCTCGAATGATTTGGACATGCGCTCGCGAGAGGCCCGCTTGGTTCCAATTGGCGCACGTGTTGGTGATGTCTTGGCTCTCGTCATAAAAATCGCAAAAGCACGGGACAGATCTTTGTTCAAGCATCGTGTTTCAAAACCAGTGTAATTGTTCCACTTGCGCGCGGGATACCCCAGCATTGACACTCTTGCTTCACATAAGATGCTTGCTGGATTCTGGACTGCGCGCGCGGCGCAGCGCGCGTGTGGATTTTTGTGATATTGATTGCAGGGGGGGCCTTGGCACATTAAGATGTTCGATAACCATGCGTGCGCGCAAAGCGTGATGCGTCATACGCAAACGTGGGGGGGGTGCCGGCCTGGCTGGGATGGTTGACACCAATGTTGCGTGAGCGATGGGGCAGCACCGTATGACAACTGAACATCCCCATTGTGCGCGGATAAGTGGGGATATATTCGGCTTCTGGTTTGCAAAGGGAGAATCTATGATCTACGCATTTTACGCGGCGCAATCGACGCGGTGCAACCAATGCGGTTCAGTGCACCTTGCCGAACTTGAAGTTGTCAACTCCATTGCTCGCGCAACCATCCCGCCCACCCATCCGCAACTTGGTTTGCAAAACCCACGCGTCGGCGAATGCAATGACCGCTGGGCGCTGGCTAGCGCATCGCGGCCGCAGGTTCGCACGCAAAGCGGCCAGCTAGTCTATCCCGACCGACGCGGCCGTGGTGGCGCTGACCGCTGGCACGTCCCAGCGGGCATGCCAGTGCGAGTCGTTGAGTTGGCCGGTCGCGGTCTCATGGCGACGCCGACAACGGCAGGCACGATTATAAGAGTAGCGATGGTGGTGGCGATGGTGCCGATGATGACGGCAAGGCCAATGACGGTGCCGATGTTGATCACGCCCGCCGATAACCATGACTATGTTTCCGCGTCGGTGATGAAGGTTTTGGAGAAGTTCAACATGTGCTCGCGACCGACGCGCGCGCGTGGCCCGCGTGGTCTTATTTGAGACGGACCGTGCCCCCCCCCCCGCAGGCGCGCAAGGGCGCTCGCATGAATTCGACATGCGGCGCGAGAGGCCCGTTTGGCAGAATCCGGTCACCATGTTGGAAACTCCATGGCATTTTCCAGGATTTCGCAAGAGCAAACGCGAAGGTTTTCTTTGAAAACTGATGTCGCAAACCCGCGTGTCTGTTTATACGTGTTCGGGACACACGGTTTTGAAATCCTTGCGAAAATTCAGCTCCAGCTGACCAGCTGACAGGACCAACTCTTCACTATCAAGCAAGAGCCATGAAATCCAAGCACTGCTTTTGGAACAACGTGCGCGGACAGGGCTGGACAGCTCCAGGACGCAATCGAATGAGAGAGGAGAACAGCATTCACATGGAGTCAGTGTAATCAAGTGGGGTGGGGATAGGGGCGGCGGGTGGGCAAGAGAAGGGTGAAGGAGGGGCGTTTCTTGGAGCCCTTTGCAGTCATGGGAGGTAGTTCTTCCCCCGGGAAGCACACGCTTTTTCGTGTATGGGGAGTTTGGGAAGCTCTGCGCAACCACCGCTATTTAGGGACAGTGTCCTCCCCGCCCACGCCGACACATGAACGCAGTCCCTCCCTCATCGCGTTTTGCTGCGGGGTCCTGCCTTCTCCCTCCAGGCAAAGATCCCGGGCAAGGCCTCAGGAACACAATTGAATCAGAACTGTCCGATGCGTAGGATTGTGCCGGCGAGCGCGGGCCTGAGGGCGCCCCGCGCAGTGCCCACGGCAGGGGGGAGCGAAGCAGAGAGGAGGGGCAGGCGGCGTGGTCTCGACCCCCCAGGCCGGGGTGCTGCGGCTGCGGCTGCTGGTGCCGGGCGGCTGGGAAACCCCGCCAGTTTCAGCGGGCGCGGTCCGCCTCGGAGGAGGCGGAGGGATGGAGACCAGTGCAAGCCCAAGATGCATCAACGACGTTGGAATCGACCTTGCCTCCAAGCTCCGTCGTCACAGGCCCACACAAGGGTGCATGCACATCCACTGCGGGGAGTGCCCCGTTGGGAGGCAACCGTTTGAAGATCCTGAAGCGTGGCGAACACACAAGTTTCATGATCTCTGCATCTTGGAGATCCGACTGTTGCATTCAGTGTTGCGAGTCAACTTGGCTGTTTCGTCTTGACGATCCTGAACAGTACCAGAGCAGTATTCCTGGGACTGCAACGCCCGCGAATAAACGAAACACTGTTGCGCCCTGGCCATCCTGAAATGCTCCAAAACACCATGTCTGGCACGCGACCGATGAGGATCAAAACAACTATCGCAATTCTCATTCATGTTTGTTTAAAGAAGAAGTTGCATAGCAACACTATAACAACATTTACCTAACAGCTTTTGCTGGTAGGTTTCTGGTGGGCTCAAAAGAGAGCATCTTGACGCCCCAGGGGGGTATGGGCGGGATCCGGACAAAACCGGGCAAAAGGGTCAGCCCCAGGAATCCCAAGGAATCCTTAGGGATTCTTAAGAATCCTTCGGGATCCATTCCCAGAACACCATTCCCAGGCCACATTTTGAATGCCCGGGGCCAACTGTAGGCCACTTCGTGTTCTTCGCGTTCCCAGAACACCATTCCCAGGCCATATTTTGAATGCCCGGGGCAAACTGTAGGCCACTTCGTGTTCTTTGTTTTCCCAGAACATCATTCCCAGGCCACATTTTGAATGCCCGGAGACAACTGTAGGCCTCTTCGTGTTATTCGTCTTCCCAGAACACCATTTCCAGGCCACATTTTGAATGCCCGGAGCCACCTGTAGGCCACTTCGTGTTCTTCGTATTCCCTGAACACTATTCCCAGGCCACATTTTGAATGCCCGGGGCCAACTGTAGGCCACTTCATTTTCTTCGTGTTTCCAGTGCATTATTCCCAGACCACATTTTGAATGCCCGGAGCCAATTGTAGGCCATTTCGTGTTCTTCGTGTTCCCGGAACACCATTCCTGTATTATACTTTGATTGCCCGGAGCCAACTGTGAGCCACTTCATGATCTTCGCGTTCCCAGAACACCAGTCTGCGCCATATTTTAAATGCTCGAGCTGAGGCAGGCTGCGGCTGAGGCAGGCTGAGGCCGAAGCAGGCTGAGGCTGAGGCTGAGGCACGCCGAGGCAGGCTGAGGCTGGGGCTGAGGCAGGCTGAGGCTGAGGCTGTGGCTGTGGCTGTGGCTGACGCAGGCTGAGGCCGAGGCAGGCTGAGGCTGAGGCTGAGGCAGACTGAGGCTGAGGCAGGCTGAGGCTGAGGCCGAGGCAGGCCCAGGAGACTGAGGCAGGCTGAGGCTGAGGCAGACAGGCTGCGGCTGAGGCAGGCTGAGGCTGAGGCTGACGCAGGCTGAGGCTGACGCAGGCTGAGGCCGAGGCAGGCTGAGGCTGAGGCTGAGGCAGGCTGAGGCTGAGGCAGGCTGAGACTGAGGCTGAGGCATGCTGAGGCTGAGGCTGAGGCTGATGCAGGCTGAGGCTGAGAGGCTCACGCTGAGGCTGAGGCAGG